TTGCAATCGATTCGGAGCCTAAAATGATATAAACTTGATCTGCATTTGCTATAGGAGATCTTATATAACAAATTTTGTTGATCTTACTCTACTCGAATATTAAGAATATAGTTACACTCAGCCTGTTACGTACTTTTGGACAACTTCATTATACCCATTTGCACGCAATTTTAATGTGTTTAGTGTATAAAAACAGAAGAAGAGAAAAAACCCAAGAAAAACGGAAGCTCAAGTTCAGACAGCGTGACCAATAACTGACTAAGGTCCATGTGCGCCATGTTTTTTTGCTCGCACCTTCCGCCGAAAAACTTCTCATTGTCCCCTTCTCTCTCTCTCTCACTCTTTCTCTCTCTCTCTCTCTCTCCCTATCGCTCTCCCTCTCTCTCTCAATCGTATTCTTATTATTCTATGGTACGGTTTTAGGGCATTTGCTGAGACTATAAAAGCAAAGGAAACCTGCAAAAGCACAGCTTGATTTATGCAGGGGGTTGCCTGGCAGGGGTTGGTTGAGGGGGATTCGTTTCCAGGATACGGGGATACGCCGGATTTGTAGCAGGCGTCACGGCTAGTTAAGGACCAAAAGTTTTCAATTAGCTGCTCGATGCTCTTTGTTGTTGCCAGGCTTCATTAGACGTTGATTGATGGAGGGATGGGCAAAACAGGTCTTTTTGGAAAATCAGGTATCGTTTAGCGAGCCAGCTAAAATGTACTTAAAAAAAGTTTGTAGTTGGGTAATCTAATAAAGAGTTGAGCAGTGTAGAAGAAGCTTACAGAGTGTTTTTCCAATACAGTGGAAAATGGGAAATGAGAACTTATTGCAGTTAGATTTAGCAACTTCAATAATAAACACAAATTATTATCTTGTGTATACTTCTTATGTGCTCATCTCATTTATGAAACTTTTTAGACATTCTTTAAAATTTGTGTGTATATTAAACATTTTGTCAGCTTAAGAAATTAAAGACACCACCACAACTCAATCCTTTTCAATGCACAAACGACAATTGTATCTTAAACAAATTGCTTGTCAACAAAAATTTCCAAAAGTAAATTGTCATGTTGTGTTTCTGCTTAGGAAAAGTAAAAGAAAAGCCCAATCCATTTACTTATGTAAATAAGTGTGTTATTTGGTTTTTCGAACCCGCAGCTGAGTTGAGTTTTCACTTTGAATTCCGCCTCCTCTTCCTCTTACCGGATATCGGCTTGAATAATTTAAGCAATTTCCGCTGCTTTCCAAAAATTATAGGCTTTAAATGCCACACAGTGCCTATTCAGACGAAAAGAAGCTAATAGTTGGTTTGGGTATCTAGGGTGGATTCTTCTGGCGCCCCTAATATTTATTTGTACAAGTATATATATATATATATATATATATATATATGTTTGTGTGTTTTTGTATTCGGAGAATGTTATGTATACAGAAATTAGCATAATTACAGCAGCCAACCCTTTTTACAAAAGGCCCACAATAAATGTGTCGCCTGTGAGGTGAGGGGAGGAAATGTGTTGAGAGGAGGGACGTCTGGAAGCGGGACAGAAATGGAATATTTGTGTTCAGTGCAGGTGGGCAGGCAGTTGTCGCACACAGTAAAAAAATATGTGTGCTATTCATGCAACTATTCCAGAATTTTATTTGGTATAAAAGAGATTCAAGATTTACAAATTTTACTATTTAAATTAAAGTTATTAATGAGAACGAATAGCAATCCACTGATCAAAGTTGAATAGTTTGTTGTTTAAAAAAGTCTATTGCTGGTTGTTTTCTCATTTCTTATAGTACATTTAATCCAATATTTTGTTTTAAGTGTACATAACTATAGGCCGTAGGCAACAATGTACCAAAAACAAGAAAGAATGGCTTAGGCACGCCGAAGATTAAATATCCTTTTAGAGCTGACTCAACCTAGTTACATATAAATATCGGTTTTTATTTTATAATAAAGCTAAATTATATAGTTAACCTATGTATAATAATGTAACCTATGTAATAATTTATGTTAAGAGCAGAATTAAACATATATTAAGTGAGTTTGGTTTGGAATACAAAACAACAAGTTTTTTATACAACAATAGGTACCTATATTAAATATCATCAAGAAAACTTTTAAGCTGAGTTACTACTTCGCATAAAAGCAGATAGAGAGATGGACATGTCTGTATCGAGTCGACTAGTAATGCTGATCAAGAACCTATACACTTTATTGTCTGCCCTAATGCATTACAAACTCGTCCCACAACAAAACTCAAATACCCCCTCAAGAAGGGAAGGGTAGAAACACACACCAGCCTCGCAAGCAATTCAGGCAGCTCAAAGCTCTTGGCATCATAATAATTTCGTTGCGTTTGTTTTTTTGGGCCCTGATGAAGGTACTACAAACCGAAACTCTCTCGCCCTCCCCTCCTACTCCTCCCCCCTTCGAAATTTTGGCCAGATGAGTGTGCGCCAAAGAGAAACAGAGCCGAACCCAAACTTAAGGCTAAACCACAGCACACAGCAGCTGCTGCTCATCAAAATTGTATGGACTAACTGGTGGTGGCTGCAGGGAAGAAATGAGGTTTTTCAGAGAGAGGAAAGGGGCCTGAAAGATGGGTTTTTCTTTTTGTGGTGTTTGCCACAGCAAAAGTAAAACCAAACAAAGCATGCCAAAAATTATCTCGGTCACTTTTCAAATGCACGCACACTTAGACAACAAACCGGAGAAGAGCTCTACAAAAGCAACCACCATCACCTACCCTCACACACACACCCGCACAGTGCATACACCCCCACTTAAGAGCAACCCCAAAATAAAAACGCAACCCCCCATTGAACCCACATCCTTAACAGGGTCAATGGTCTTGGCGCGCATACTACAAAGCCAGGCAACACTTGAAAGTTTTATGTGTGTACACACTTTTTGTTGTTGTTTTTAGTTGTTGCGGCAGTCGAGTTGACAACACTGTTTACCTAATGTACCGTTAAGCTGCACACTTAATGCCGTCATCATTCGTTTTTTGGGTTTTTTTTTTTGCTCTCTCATCTTTTGTCATTGTCTTCCATGAGCCATGAAAATTATTTTCATAATTCGTTTTGAAGTGTTTTTGTGGAAAGGGGCGCTAAAAAGCTGAGTTTAAGCAGCGTTTTCCATTAGTCAGCTTAAAAATTTGAAGCCCTTGGCTTAAGAGTTGATAATAATTTAGTTTGAAGTTTCAATTTAGCTTAAGCGTAATTACTAAATAAATATCTAGATAAATTCAAAGACTAATTAAAATGGTAAGAAAATATTACAAATCGTTTATTATTTTTAAATATATATTAACACAAAGTTACATGAAAGATTTTTAAATTTATAAAAATAATTCAGCAAATTTCTTAAAGCCTTCGATACTTTATCTATTTAATAATTCTTTTCGAACAAAAGACATTTGACATAAAATTCAAAATTGCTAACAATTGTTACCCCAGAATTAATTCATTATCCTCTGTAATAATCGCGCATCGAAAATTCCAATGTGCTGGCTTCATATTGTTCAATTTGCACGAAAACAAACTTTCGGCTCATCAAACTTTTTCAATTTACAACAAAAAAGTACGCACAACAATAATTAACATAAAATCACAATAACTGCAAAAGCTTATAAGCTTTTTATTTTACATTCTTGATGACAAAAAAAAATTGTTTAAATTGCAGCAGACCGCGGCCATAATTTAAAATGTGTGTGTGTTGAATTGCGGCAAGCATTTTTAGTTTTTACCTAAATTATGTGAAAAATGAAACCTTCACCGAAAAAGGATTTCATTGCCGTTGGCCGTTGCAATGCAGCTATTTTACCTTGCCAACGAGTAAGGACATTTGGAGCAGCAAAAAAATCCTTGACAGCAGCCAGCAGCCAACGCATGCCACGCCCAGAGCTGCCCCAGCCGCCGCTTCCCCTACAATTTTGCAGGTTAAGGTCACCTCGAACCTAGAGCCGGGAAACTGAGCCTCTTTCTCTCTCTCTCTTTCTCGCTCTCTCTCTCTCTCTCTCTTTTTATGCTGCAGACATATCCGCACTAACAATGGCAATGAATTGCAGGCAGGCTGGTAGAAAGCCATTTTCTGCCGCCGCCTCTGCCTCTCCCTGAGCCCAGCATCCTTGACGTTTAGCTGTAAACGGATTTATTGCAAACGCCGAGCGCATCTGTTTTCGCCTTGAAGCGCCTTTCAAGGCAATCGTGTGCCTTGCACATGTTTATGTTCTCATTAGTTTGAAATCCGACATATTTCGCTTCACTGTCAAGCAAAAGGCGATGACGCATTTTTCTCTTTTTTTCTTTTAATTTTACTGGTCTTTCATGTATAACTATAGACATAACCATAGACTGTATAGCTTTAGCGCTGTGTCGCACTTAAAAATGATACTAAAACAGCGCAAAAAAAGAGAACGCACAAAAGACACATTTTTTAAAAGCACTCAAGTTTCAAGTAGCCTGGCTTGACTGTGGTTTAAAATGTTGCAAAAATCAAAGTCAATGTCAGGATGGTCACAAGGTCAATTGCTGAGCAAATTTTGCGGCAGCAGCTGAAATGCAAACATAGCACACAAAAGATTCGATGAAGCGGCAAAAAACTTAAGAGATTAAAGCTTTAAGGCAATGATACTTTTGAAATGAGCGCACGAAGACTAGAAGCAACCCTGCTCATATTTCTGCATTTCAAATAGAATTTCTAAGCGCGCTCAGGCTGAAACCAACTGTGTATAGAATACATAGAATCGATATATTTAATCGATTTATTAAAATATCGCAAGTTAAAATGTTCAATATGATAAGCATATCTATGTGCAGCAATTTCATAATTTCGTACTTTAAAATGTGATTTCAATGTCACGGTGAATAATGAGTGAATACCAATAAAATATAGTATTTCTTATGTTTTCTCAGAGTATGTAAAAATCGAAAACAAACATCACATATATCTACTCGTCACTGTTCCCACAATTCAGTCACGGTTACACAAAATATCGCAGTACAGCACTTTCGATAAGTAACTACTATAGGCATAACGCTCATCTCTAATTTAACGCGTGCTCTTTCTTTCCTCTTGCTCCAACATGGCTGATCAGGTAAGGCACCAAAAGTGTGTTCGAAATTAAATAAAATACAGCATTTAATGCGCTACACTATGATACAACCAAAGTGAATTGTGAAGTTAAGTGTGTTGTGAGTACACCCAGACAATAATTTTTACAGTACAAGCACTGCAAGTGCATTGTTTGGCAAAGACAAATTTACAACTCAGCTCATCGAGCATTCAACCTAACCAAACTTTTAGGCATGCTGAATATCTCACAACACACACAAAATGTGGAATAGCTATTTATTTTGATTGGTTGTAGCAAATGGAACGTGCGTTTTGCAAACAAAATGCGGTGCCGACAACGCGTCGCAAGAGTGTCAATGCAAAAAAGCGTTTGCGATTGCATCGTCAAATTGGCCTGGGCTTTAAAACGCCAGCCGAGGTAAGAGTTCCCAAAGCAAAATTGAACTAATTTGGTGCCCCCCTGTGTTGTTCTTTGTTCCAAATCCTGCCTGCAATCCGCACCTGCACCACACTCCATTTGTACTAAAAATCAGAACGAGCGCGCCTTCCAAAAGCAGTTCGGTGTTAACCTAAACCGTAAGGTGAAGCCAGGCATCACCAAAAAGAAGGTGCTCCGCCGCTACCGGGATGTTGGTCTCGGCTTCAAAACCCCACGTGAGGTATGCATGAATCCCAGAAATAAAAATAGAAAACCTTTGTTAAATTCTGTTAAATTTATTAAATACTAAAACTAATGCCATCCCTCTCTCACAGGCCATCGATGGTACTTACATTGACAAGAAGTGTCCCTGGACGGGGGATGTGAGAATTCGTGGCCGCATTTTGACTGGTGTTGTGCGCAAAACTAAAATGCAACGCACTATTGTCATTCGACGTGATTATCTGCACTTTGTGCGCAAATACAGTCGTTTTGAGAAACGTCATCGCAACATGAGCGTCCATTGCTCACCCGCATTCAGGTTTGTTTAAATATTTTACTCACCCAATTGCCATTTTTGCTGCGCTTATTTACGCAATCTGGCAACTCTTCAAACTGCAGATTTAACTTAACTTTGAATTCGCCCAGCCAGCAATAAGCGCAGCACTTAATATTAATTTATAGTGATGATAAAATCATGACGGTCTTCATAAAACAAATTGCTGAAGCAACTTGACTCTTTTTACGCAAAACGTAAAAATATATTCACAAAAAATGTAATGGGCTTATTCGAGTTGCACATTTTAATCACATTCATTTCTGTTCTTGCATTTGCAGAGATGTTGAGCACGGCGATATCGTCACCATTGGCGAGTGCCGTCCGCTCTCAAAGACCGTGCGCTTCAACGTATTGAAGGTGAGCAAGGGTCAGGGCGCCAAGAAGAGCTTCAAGAAGTTTTAAGTGAAGGACAACCAACCACTGCGGAAGAAAACAATATTTGTAGCATTATTCTTTTTGAATAAAACAAAAAAAAAAACCTATGTAAATTTAATCATATTTTCTGTGTAGATTGTCGAGTCTCATTTCAGCATTATCAAGCAGCAGTTGGACGAATTCTGAAAAGGTGTGTCTTTTATCCTCGTTGAATTCATATTTTAATGCTTGTATTCTGATGATAAAATCATGACGGTCTTCATAAAACAAATTGCTGAAGAACCTTGACTCTTTTTACAGAAACTGTAAAAAACTGAAATTTATCAACAGTTATTCGCAAATCCAAGAAATTGTATATTTTTTATTAATGTTCTTGTTATATTATTTTTTACAGATTGTGAACGTGGACTTGGAAAAATGAATTTTATATTTCACAGCTTATAATTCTGTTCGTTAGTTCGAAATAAAAATAAAAGCCGCCTAAAATAACAATTGCTCAACTTATTTACTTGTTTGAAAGTGGATTTTTTAGGAATAGTTCGAATTTCAATTGAAATTTTAGCAATCATTCGAAATTTAAATTGCGCGCCTCAAACATTGCACAAGTAAGAAGCAGAACGAATGACTTGCTATTCTGGTAGTGGGGCAACGCTGCTAATTCTCAGCTGTTGCACTGCACTGGCAACGCTGCCAGACGCTAAACAAAAAAAAGAAAAGAAAGATAAGCAAAATGGAAACAGCGGGTTCTGGTGCAGAAATTGGTAAAAATACAATAGATTTACAATAGTCAGAAACACAAAATATATGAATAAGCCAAGTTTGGTCAAAACTATGAGAATTGGGCAGACGCAAGTAAATTACAAAGCTGTCTACAACATTTTTTCGCAATCTTTTGTTGTTTTTGTCGCAGAGCTCCTGGAGCGCGTTTTACTTCGTCTGGGCAATGCGGATAGTGATGAGAAGCTGGAAATAGCTGTCGGCAAGTTCCTGACGCCCGTCATACTCAAAATCAATTCGCCCCACAATGTGGTGCGCACAAAGGTAAAACGAGACATCGCCGCCGGCAACTGCTGCATGACTCTGCACAAACTTATGCAAAAATTGTACTCGAAAAATTGACACAAATTGTTATCAATTTCAATTAGGTAGTTGAGGTGCTGACACATATTAAGCGACGCATCACATCGCGTGGTCAGGTCCAGATACCGGTGGAGGCTCTGCTTGAGCAATATGCGGCCAAAGATAGCACCACATTCTTAAAGAATTTTGCCATCATCTTTATTAGCATGGGTTTTCCGCGGCTGCCGCTGGAGCAGCAAACAGCGCTGGCCGCCAAACTCTTGGGCTGTGAATCGAATCTGGAGAACTATCAAGATAAGCTGTTCACACTGCTGCTGCCCGTGTTGTGTGACATGAAAATACCCGACGATCCGGCACAGCGTTCAGAGCTGCTTAAGCTTGAGGATAAGCCTGCAATTAGTGGCAGTTTCTTGGCTCTGCTGCAGGATGTGCTGCTGCTGCCGTACGGCATCACACAGGAGCAGGATGTGCCGCCTGGATTAAGTCCATATAGTTTTAAGCGTGTCATTGCAAACAATTGGCGTGCCGAGGAGCTGGAGAAGATCAAGAAGGGCATTGTGCGTTTTCTCTGCGCCAGCGTCTTTAGCGACAATGAGATCTTTGTGCTGCTCGTCGTCGCCTCGGCAGATACACGCTTTAGTGTTGCAACGCCTGCCATTGCCGAGCTGAGCAAATTGTGTACCATGCTGGATTTTAATAGTGCAGTGCTCACCTCACCGCTCTACACACTCTTCATTGGCAATCAGTGCCAGTTGGCGGAGCGTCAGACACGTCCATGTTGCGCTCGTGTGCGCCAGAAACTGTTGCAATATCTAATCAAGTGCCGCAGCAAGGCCATCAATGTGGGCAAGGGCCTGCAGGTCATCTTCGATGGACTCTTTGGCACCAACACGAATCAAAAGTGCAAAGTGCTCGCGCTGCAATTCACAGAGTTGGTGCTGAGAGAGTGAGTTTAAATAATATTTAAAATATGAAAGTTGTTATAAATTATACATTATCCATTCTCAATTTACAGCGGTCCACGCGACGTTGTGTCCAAAGTATCCAAAGTGATGCTCACTGGCATCACCAAGGTAATTGGACGCGACACTGTTGAACCGAATGATGTGCAGAATGCAGCATATTCGGCATTGGCGCAACACGCACGCAGTTTTCCCCAGGATGTTAGTCAGGATCTGAAGTTGGTGTTGGGCTATTTTAATAATTTGGCCACTTGCACACCAGACTTGCATAGTTCCATACGCGAGGCATTGGTGTCGATGGCGCCCGCATTTGCCTGGCAAACCAAAACCAAATCGGATGCCATGGACGTGGACAGTGGAGAGTCGTGTGAAGTGCAGCTGGATGGACAGCAGCATCTGTTGCTCGCGATGCTGCTGGATAATGCCGAGTCCAAGATACAAATTGTGCAGAATGTGACGAGCGTTTTCCTCACCAGCTGCTATCCAGAATTTTATGCCCCGGCGCGCTATTTACTGCTGCTCATTGCAGGCGAACGGTGAGCGGAGTTTATTAACGAATTGTAAATGAATTAAATGTATTATTTGCTTATAGCAATTCACTGCGTGAGAATGTCACAACTTATCTGTATGGCACTTCGAAGAAAGATCATGTCAACTACAGCATGCTCTCCTCGATTGAGCAGACGGGCAAGCAGCACACAAGTGAATCCATCAGTGATTTCAATCATCTGTCGCTGGAGCAGCGACGTGTGGTGTTGCCAAGTTTTCATGTGATGATGGCCCATGTTCATGACATGGCCAATAAACGACTGAAGAAGAGCAACGCTTGCGTTATCTATGGCCGTACCAAGCTACCCTACAGCTTGGAGGTCTATGAGGAGATGCTAGATTATTTGCGACTCTGTTTGTGGTATTCAGCCGGCGTTGTTGCCGCTCCGGGCGATGAGAAGCATACGTATGAATTGCGAAAATACATAATTACTAACTATGACGAGGATGAGTCATCGAATACACTGCATCAATATCTACTATTCGTGCAACGAGGCGTCGAGGCGAAGCGCAGTTAGTTGCTGTCTGTCCAGATTCTACTCTTAACTCAATAATTCTCTTTCCAACTGCAGCTGAGTCGAGTCTCTTGTGTCTCTATGATCTGTTGAATGCGGCTCCGGAGCTATTTGCACCCAAGCAGCTGCATCTGCTTGAACCGTTGAGCAACTCTTTGAAGGATGTCTCCGAAACGATGCGCGCTAATGTCTCCCAGGTCTACGGCATACTCTGGGCCTATGGGTTGCCCGATGATAAGTTCGATGCGGAGGTGGGCGATTGTCTGACCAGTTTGACCCAGAAATCGCTGGAGCACAAGCATGGCTGGCTTTTGGTCTTGGGTCATGCATTCAATCGCAAAATTGAGCAATTAAAGCAGCAGAATTCTAGCAAGGATTACGGCAAGTGGCCGCAGTTTATCAATGCTGTCAAGATTATTGGTGAGTGAAGGAACTGAACTCTAAATCTGTCACTTGCAATTCTAAATCTGCAATCTTCTCCAGCTAAAATGCTGTGCGAAACTCAATGGCTGCTTGTGTCGGCGGCCGTTAAGTGCACCTCGATGATTGGCAAAACGGTGGAGATACCCAATGTTCAAGTGGAAATCCAAGTGCAGTGCAACGATAACGACAATGACAACGATGACGAAGAGCTGGCCGAATTCAAGAATATTGAGGCCTCCACAAAGATGATAATTTTTGGCGTCGTCTTTCAATTGTTGCGCAGCACTTCGTTCCGCCAGAAGATCCGTGAGGAGGCTGCCAAATGTTTGGGCTATTTGGCTATTGGCGATGGTGCACACTTTACCAAACGCAATCTGGATAAGTTTCTCACGTTGGCCAAAGTGCAAAAGGATGCTGCACTCAATATTGCCATTTCGGAGGCCATTGTGATCACATTGTGCGGCTATGATGTGAATCGTGGTGTGCCCGCAGAGAATTTCCAGAATCTACACTGCACCGATGCGGAATTTGAGCAATTTCTGAATGCTTTGATTCGTCTGGTGCCCGAACCGAATGCTCAATCACGTCAGGCCATCTCGGTGTGGCTGCTGGCCGTCGTAAAGCACTGCAGCAATCGTCCAGCAGTGCTCAGCAAGAAACAACTGCTGCAGTTCGCCTTCACCGAGCTGCTGTCCGATGATAGCGGTAAGTTGGGATCACATTTAGAATTTGCAACTCGTATTTATAATCTTGATCTTTGACCTTATAGAATTTGTGCAGGATGTGGCGTCTCGCGGTTTGGGCTTGGTCTACTCGCTCTCGGATTCCGGCAGTCAAACGGAGTTGGCCAATTCTCTGTTGGATCAATTGATTGGTGGCAAACGGCAGGTGAATCAAGTTGCTGGCGATACGGAATTATTTGCCGAGGGCATGTTGGGAAAGACACCAACTGGTGGCAATATAACGACGTATAAGGAACTCTGCTCCCTCGCCAACGATCTCAATCAGCCGGACATGATCTATCAGTTTATGCAGCTGGCCAATCACAATGCCGCTTGGACCAGCAAATTGGGCGCCGCCTTTGGATTGAAAACGCTCTCAGCAGAGTCACGTCAACAGATGCAGCCATATCTGGGCAAGATAATACCGCGTCTATATCGCTACAAATACGATCCGACGCCAAAGATACAGAATTCGATGATATCCATTTGGGATACGATTGTCAGCGATTCCAAGGAGATAACCGAGCAGTATTATTGGGAAATACTACGTGAACTACTCGATAATTTAACCTGTACGGAGTGGCGTGTGCGGATTGCCTGCTGCCTGGCCGTGAGGGATCTGTTGAAGCGACCAAATGGTTTGCGTTTGCGCACCGAGGAACAGTTGCCCACAACTACTGCAGCAACTCCAAACAGTCCGCGTCGCGTTACACCCGATACGATGGAGGTGGATGAGCCGCCCGAGCCCGAGTTGCGTGAGCTCTGGTTTCAGCTGTTCCGCGTCATGGACGACATACACGAGGGCACACGCATGACGGCACATGGCACAGCGTCATTTCTGGGCAAGCTGTGTGTGCTGGCTGCATCGGCGGAGCATGGCAAATCTGGCACAGCTGTGGCTGCTTCGATACTACCCTATTTGCTGGAGACGGGCGTCGGCCACAAAGTCGCCGATATACGCAATGTCAGCATTAAGACCATCTCGGAAATGATTGAATCGTCGGGTGCTCTAATTGCCCCACATCTGGCCACGCTCATACCATGTCTGCTGCGCGCCACCGGCGAGTTGGAGAACACAAAGCTATCGTATGTGTCCACACGTCTGGGTGCGGACAATGAGGCACAGGAAGCGGTAGACAGTTTGCGTGCGGAGGCAGCCAAATCGCATCACACAATGGAGACCATCAACAAGTGTGTGCGCTTCATTGACTACCAGGTGCTGGAACGCATGACGCCCGAACTGCTCGAGCTGATGAAGACCAGCGTCAATCTGGGCACCAAAATTGGTTGTGCTCACTTTGTCTGTTTGGTGAGGCTCACTCCTTAAAATGTATCTACTTTTCCTGCGTCACATTTAAACATCTTTCCGCTTTCAGGTCAGCATTCGCTTGGGCAAAGAGATGACGCCGTTGGTGGGCAAATATCTGGGCGCCTGCTTTGGCGGCATCAAAGATCGCAATGTCACCGTGCGCAAATACAATGCCAGCGCCATTGGACATCTGATGGGTCTGGCCAAGGTAAGTTGGCTTCCATTACTACTCCTATTTCTCTATTTATTATTATTATTACTATGGATTATTTGATCTGTACCTAAATAATTTCTCTCTTCCACAAAGGAACAATCCATTAAGAATCTATTTGGCAAGCTGGACGAGCTGTATATGGAGCAGCCGAGCAATCGTTCCATAGCGCTAACCATACAATCGATAAACAAGCGTCATCATGAGCTGCTCAAGGACTATATGGACTGTATGCTGCCGCTGATCTTCTTTGCCATGCACGAGGAGCAGAACGAGGAGAACAAGGCCAACATTGAGTTGTGGAAGGATCTGTGGAATGATATAAGTCCCGGTGATGCGGGCATCCGTCTCAATTTGCATGTGATCATACCCAAGTTGGAGTCGTCGCTGACCGATGCCAGCTGGTCACGCAAATCGCAGGCGGCCAATGTTATTCAGAATATTGCGATGCGCCTGAGCCACAGCCTCGAGATGGGGGATCGTGTGCGTCTAATCCGGCTGCTGCTTAGTGGCCTCCAAGGACGGACATTTGAAGGCAAGGAGCGATTGCTGCAGGCGCTGGCTGCACTCTGTAAGAATCTGGATCGCCAGCACGAGATCTGTGGCAACATAATTGAGGCTGCGATGCGTGAGGCACGCAAACAGGAGCCCATATATCGCACCATGGCACTGGCGGCTCTTGGCGACATCCTCGATGTGCTCGAGGCCGATCGCTTTGAGGAGATCTACAACATGATCTGGTATCTGCTAGAGAAGAAGGAACTGCGCGCCGCCGACTCCGATGATGATGATGATCATCAGCTGGCTGGCTGCAGCAATGCCAGCAAGGATTTAACAGCCGATGAGCGCAATAAACGCGCCCAAACGCTCAACAAACTGAAGGAGGTCGTCTGGGAGACTTTGGGCAAATCGTGGCCCAAGCATGCAATTGAGACCCAGCATCGATATCAGCTCTTCTTCGCAGAGAACTGCTCCAGCATTCTGAGCGAGAGCACACGTCCGGTGCAGGTCAGCCTGCTGGCTGCCCTCACCAAGTATATTGAGCGCCTCTATATTTTCGATGAGGCAGCCAAGCTGCCCGAGTTGCCGTTGGAGCGCAATAATCTTGAAAAGAAACCGAAAACGGAGACAACACCGCTGCAGACACGCGAAGCGATCGTGCAGAAGATTTGCAGTGATGTCCTTGCGGCGGTCACCCTTGCCGCCGCTGTGCCCCATACGGGCCTCAAGAAAGAGGCGCTTAACATTGTCTTGATGCTGATCAAGCGATTGAGTCCGAGCAGAGATCAGGCCACGCTGGCGCTGCTCAAGCAGAACTTTGAATCGAATCTGGCCAAATTTCAACGCGATTCGGCGCCCGAGGTACGCTGTCGCATCAAGGACATCGAGGAGAAGCTAAGCAAACTCGACCATCCTAACTAATAAGCAATAAAATAATAAAAAAAAACTTTACAATCAGATTGGAAACCAAGCGGAAAACGTACTTTGGAACAGGGTCGAATTGAATTATTTATGTAACGAACAGAATAAAAATAATTTATACTTTGAAACAATAATGTACTAAAGCGACTACCTGAGGTTTTTTACTTAATATATTTATATATATATATGTATATACATTTGGCCTTGCGTGCATCTTCAACCGGTTTCAAGTGATTTTCGATTTTCTCGTGTCAATTTCTAATTGGATAACAAAGTATGTCGCACTTACTTGGAGTCTACTGATGAATGACAAGTATATCACAGCCACTAAGTAATTTATAGATAGTATATAATAGTATTAGGTAATACTACAGGGGATCGCGACAGAAATGCAAATACAGCTCATCCAAAGACTCTAGCATAAAGGTATGGGGATTAAAGCGTATTTCGGGCACTGTCTGAGCACAGAACTCAACGCGATATGTTTTCAAAATGTGAGCCACGCCCAGCTTCAACTGCAGCAAACCGAGACGACTGCCTATACAACCATGTGGACCCGCACCAAAGGGTATAAAAGTCATGGGCGTAATCTGTGTGATATGCTGCGGTGCAAAACGTTCCGGATTAAAGTGCAAAGGGTTCGGCCAGTACTAAAAAAAGAAGATTGAGAATTTCGATAAAGATTTCCATGATTTGTAAAAGTCAACTCCACACTCACCTTCTCATCTCGCTGCAGGCCCAATATGGATATATAGGCTGGCATGCCGCACGGTATCACAAAATCAATACGCGGCCGCAGCGAGAAACCTTCTGGTTGGGTGCATTCTCGATTGATAAAGGCAGCAGCGGGATATAGACGCAGTGCCTCCAGGCAAACCATTTTCAGATACGGCAACTTGACAGCTGTCTCATAACTCAAGTTGAAAGAGTCACCAAAGGCTGAGTGCAACTCCTGCCTTAAACGCTGCTGCAACCTGGGCTGCTTGGCCAACTCATACAGGGTGAAGGCCAGCAGAGCTGAGGATGTCTCAAAGCCAGCGAGCAGAAAGATGCCCGCTTGCGAGGCAATGAAATCCTCATGATGAACATAATGTTTGGCCGGCCGTCGGCCTTGCAACTGCTGCAGATGATCAATGAGATCATCACCAGACTCGGATTTGGTATGCTGGCTTACTAATTGTCTCATGAATCTGGCATATGGCGTGGAGAAGACCTTCGCGCGCAGCCAACCTGTCCATTGTGGCAAAAAGAAGATGCTCATAAAATGGAGCAACTTCATCAAGTCGGGTTTAAAGAGCTGCTTGGCCTGTTGCCGCAACTGCGATTGATTCTGCCGCAATCCTGCCCCATTCCAGCTGTAGAACAGTTTCCCAGTCACATCCGTCGTGTAGAGTTGACACATTTCACTCAGGGGCAACACACGTTCCGCTTGACCACACATATTCCGCTCCAGATGCTGTTCGAGATCGTGTAGCACCTCGAGGATCAAAGGATACATGCGCTGCTTTATGCGTCCACTGGTAAAGAGCTGCGACATGCACAGTCGACTCTCACGCCACTGATGATATTTGGCCAGTGGCAGAGTCAGTGCACCCATCGCATCATGTCCAGCATCGGCGGCTTCATAGCGATTGAGAAATCTATTGAAATCCTTGACAAGCACCAAGCGTATAATTTCCGGATCGCGTAGTATCAAAGCGGGTGTTTGAAAGACAAAGAAACCAGCTAGCTTCTCCGCTTCAATGCGCTCATCTGCATAAATATTCTTGAAGAGATCGCCAAAGGAGATGTGCAGCAGGAGCAGCTGCCTGAGATGACCCAATGGCGTCCAGACAGAGGCCGGCAAATAAGGCAGCCTATGGCGACGAAAGTAGCTATAACTCTTCTTTAAATGCAGATAGATAAAAAGGAATATCAGGAGTAGCAAAACTGGTACGATGAAATGCAGCATACTGACTGTAAGGAGAAGGGTTTGGAGGATTATTAATCTAAAATGTCTTTTTATCATACTACTTGGTATATATAAATATAAAAATATATTCTTATCTAATAAATATTTTTCTTAATAATAGAAAATATTTTTTTAAATAAAATGCAGACCATAATTTAAAGAAAAAATTACGTATTGAGTCTAGTTCAAAACCTCAAAAACTAATGTTTATTTATTGTATAAGCAACAAATAAATCCATTTTAGAGTTCTCGTTGTACACATATGAAGAAAAAACCCTGAAAGTTAAACATATTTTTTCAATATTTTCGAAAAATGTAACCTGATATAAATAAAAGAAATAACCTGGTTTTTGAAAATATACTTTCTGAATAACAAGGTGAGTTTCCTCTGACGCCAAAAGTATGGCGAATATCTAAAACTCAAGGCGATGTTTTTCTATTATTCAGTATTTATTTATATATAAAAATTCTATTCCTAAAACTTGTTATCCACTTCATCTATTACATAAATGAGCTACCCATTATGAAATATGCAAGGTCAGAAACAAAACGCAACTAAACAATAAAAAAAACACATTCATTGAGGAAAACGGTTGAACCCATAGATGAACCCTAAAAGATATCTATTTCAGCCGAAACCCTCAATGGATCTTTCTGAAATATTAGAACTCAGTAGCTGAATCCCACTCGGATTGCGAAGATGGCATTTGGAACACTGCTACTGCTGCTGATCATCATCCTGGTGAGTGGCTATTATTTTCTGCGACAACACTACGATTATTGGATACGTCAGGATGTGCCACAATTGGAACCGTCGCTGTTCCTGGGCAATTTGGGTGGGCTGTTGAGCATGCAGAGCAATCCGGCGGATTTCATTGCACAACTCTACAATCATCCGGATGCCCAGGATAAACCCTTTGTGGGCATTCATGTGTTCCACAAGCCAGCACTGCTTCTACGCGATCCTGCGCTGATCAAACGGATTATGGTCAAGGATTTTCCCAAGTTTGCCAATCGATACTCGAACTCGGACTACAAAGGGGATCCGCTCGGCTCACAGAATATATTCTTTCTCAAGAATCCGGCTTGGAAGGAAGTGCGTCTGAAGCTATCACCATTCTTTACCAGCACTCGCCTGAAGCATATGTTCCCGCTGATCAACGAGGTCGGTTGCAATCTGGATGCGTATTTGAGGCAACAGCCGCTGCACAATGAGAGAGCCCGCTGCTTCGATCTAGAGGCCAAGGAGCTGTGTGCTCTCTACACCACAGATGTAATTGCCACGGTTGCCTACGGTGTCCAGGCGAATAGCTTCACTCAACCGAATAGTGAATTTCGACGACATGGACGCGCCATCTTCGAGTTCAGTTGGAAGCGTGCCGCTGAGTTTACTTTGGTCTTCTTCCTGCCCCAACTGGTGCCCTATTTGGGCTTTAAGGTGGTGCCCGCTGAACCCACTGCATTCATGCGCAAGACCATCAACTATGTGATTGCTGAACGGGAGAAATCGAAGCAGCCAAGGAATGATCTAATCGATCTACTCATTGACTTCAAGCGTAGCTCCAAAAATGCCGACAATCAATTTGTATTCGAGGGCGATATCCTCGTTGCACAGGCAGTGCTCTTCTTTACCGCCGGCTTCGAATCCTCCTCATCCACAATGGCCTTTGCCATGTACGAGCTGGCCAGGAATCCCAGCGTACAGCAACGTTTGCGAGAGGAGATCAAGACGGCATTGATTGCCAGTGGTGGATGCGTAACGCAACAATTGATTGAATCCTTGGAGTATATGCAAATGACATTGCAGGAGGTGTTGCGGATGTATCCACCATTGCCGTTCCTCGATCGCGAATGCACCAGCGACAATGGCTATTCGCTGGCGCCCTTTCACAAATTCCGGGTGCCCAAGGGCATGCCAATTTATATACCAGCCTATGGTCTGCACATGGATCCGCAGGTAAGCCCAACAGTCTTAACAAATTGTAATCTAATTAATTCTCTTGTACCCTTCTGCCTTGCAGTACTATCCGGAGCCACGACAATTCCAGCCGGAACGTTTCTCGGCCCGTAATCGCAAGGAGCACACTCCTTATACCTATATGCCCTTTGGACTGGGTCAACATGGTTGCATTGGGGAGCGCTATGGCTTCCTCCTGGCCAAGGTGGGCTTAGTCTATGTGCTGAGGAATCATCTGGTGACCACCTCGGAGCGTACACAGCGACGCATGAAACTGGATCCCAAGGCGATAATACTACAAGCCGCTGGTGGAATACATTTGCGGCTGGTGCGCGATTCCTTGGGTGTTTAATTCAACTTACTCACTCAATGGGATGTCGGATGTGGGTTGCGGGATGTGGGAGTGGAGTTCGTTTAGATCGCCACAACGAATGCTTTTCAACTAAGTTCGAGTTTTGCGTGAGCTGTCATTTTAAATTACCTAACAGCAAAATGCGAATTTTGATTGACTGTTTGCGTGTCACAATTTGAATGAGTGGTGGAAGATGTAGTTGAAAGTGCTCCAAGTGGAAAGTTGAGTCTGAAGGTTCGCCCCCTTCACTGAATATAATCAAGTTACTTGATTCTGTCATACAATAACACATTAACTTATCTAACAAGATTTCAGCTCGTTTGTTATACTTTCGGCACCAAGGGTATTATTATTTTTCAGAGTGTATATTGCTAAAATTAGGGTTTATCTTTTTTTTATTTCAGGTTAAACTGCTTTTTTAATTTATAACAAATATGTGCATTTTTCAGTGTGTTTTCATATGCGTAGAAGGAGAACTCTAACATTATATTTTTGTTGCTTATATTATCAATAAACATTAGTATTTTACCAAAATCAAATAATTATATTAAAAACCCGACGATCTTGCGGCAATGCCAACTGAACTTTAATATAAAAGACGAGCCTTTCAATTTCATTACTTTTTTCTACATTTTAGAAAGGATTTATTCTAAAAATGACACTTCGCATTTGCACTTTCTAGAAATACTTTTCTTTTCAATAGAACTGCTGACTTGCTTTCTAATTTTTACAAATAGTTTTCCTTCTATTTAGAAATTGATTCTAAAAACATGATTAACTCTTTAATTTTTAGTACGATTTGCGATCAGCAATTAGCAATTAAGAAATTCTCCTTAACATAGTTCAAATACCGGATCGGAATCGCCCTAATTACACCAAATTAAAACGATGTGGGTTCCGGGATATTCTCCTCCAGTTGTTGTATAGTTTCAGTTCTCTCCTCTCAATTTATTTGTTGTGAAGTGTATAAATAAGTTAAACTATTGCCGTTTTAGTTGATTTATCTTACACCGATAAAATTGCGCAAATCAAATCAAATCGATATTAAAATGGCACTTAAATAATAAGATTGTGTGCCTTGTTACTAATGTTGTTATTATTGTAAAAACAATATTTGCAACACACGCGAAGCGCAAATTCGTCAAAATCAAGGCCGAATTGGCAGCTGTCAGGGTAGGTCAGACACCCAACCGATTAAATTATATTATAATCATATCTTGAAAGCACTCAAAATGTAATCAACATTTAATAAATCAAAAAACAACATTTTATATAACAAAAAGACCCCTGTCTAGCCACATTTGATAAGCTTATCAGTTGTTTACCTTTCATAATAAAAATTATTTTCTTTTATTATCATCAAAAATGCTTAAAACTAATCATTTGCAGATTAGAATATCACAAAGCTTGAGCTGCCCTATCATCGTAGAATCTATCGTTAACAATCTCCAGAAACATGCCCGACTTCAACTGCAGCACAAAGGTCTTCGGATCAAAGGTGATGTCCTTCGGCGTCTGTGAACAGCAGCGAACATAATGATTCTTAAGGATGTGGACCAAACCCAGTTTAGTCTGAAGCAGGCCAATGCGACTGCCAATGCAGTTATGTGGACCCAGACCAAAGGGCTGATAGGCCATGGCCTCAATAGTCTTACGATTCTCAGGAGAGAAGCGTTCGGGATCAAAAACATTAGGATTTGGCCAGTACTGAAAAGAACGAAAGGTAATGAATCTGAATATTAGGAGGATTTAGGACAACTCAAAACTCACCTTGGGATCACGTTGCAGTCCGTAAATTGGTATAAACACAGGCGTCCCGTTCTCCAGTTGGAAATCGTAGTGTGGTTTGAGTGAGAGATCTGGCTGACCCTTGATGCCCTGATATTCACGATCCAAGAAAGGAAGAACAGGGTACAAACGCAACACCTCATCGACAACCATCGACAGATATTCCAAGGAATTGATTTTCTCATAGCTCAACTTGCCACTGCCCTCCTCAAGGAAAGCATTGTTGATCTCCCGGCGTAAGCGATCCTGCAGCTCTGGCTGCTTGGCCAGCTCCAGAAGACCAAAGGCCATTGTGGACGATGAAGTCTCAAAGCCAGCTGTAAAGAAAACTCCGGCCTGAGCCACCAGAAAGTCCGGAATGTTGGCCAAATGTGGTTTGTTGGGCTGCTGGGCTGCCTCCTTGCGCAGACCCACAAGAACATCAATTAAATCATTCCTCATAGTTCCCGTTCGCTCTCTTTCCGAGATCACATGGCCGATGGTCTTGCGTATAAAGTTCGAGTACTCTTTCGTGAAGAACTTAATCCGGAGGAGCGACACAAGCTTAGGCAGAAAGAACACCGTAAAGAAGTCTTTGCTGCGGGACACAGTACCCTCCAACACTTTTCGTCCTTCTGTCCGAAATTCAGCATCAGGATTCGTCAAGCTATTCGCACGCACCCCAAAAGCAATAGTGGCAATAGAATCTGTGCTGAATCTCGAGCACGTGTCCTTGATCTCCACAATGTTACTGGCGTCCTGACCAGTCTTCTGCTGGGCGAGATGCGCTTCTAAATCGTCAGCAATCTAGAAATTTTTGCGGCTTGAGATTTAATACAAAATTATTTCCAAAGAGTCAGAACACACCTCCTGCATCAAAGGATACATTTGCTTCAGCTTTCCGCTGGTGAAAACCGGAGTCAACTTCGACCTTATCTCCTTCCACTGTGGATTGCGCACAAAGAAGAGATTGTTGTTGCCCAAAGCATCGCCATGTGGGTCACAGCGAGCATAGCGATTGGAGAAACGTTGAAAGTCCTTTATCATCACGGATTTGATTAGTTCGGGCTCGCGTATAACTAATGCTGGCTTGTTTAACACATAGATGCCAACTACAGCCTCGTCCTGCATCTTGGGATCATTGTACACCTCTGAGATGTGCAGGCCAAACGAGTTCTTTTGCGTAAACACCGGCGAGGTATTCCCTATAATCGGCGTGGGCTGGATATAGGGTATTCCCTTACGCTGCCAATAGCTGTGACTGCGCTGAAACCACAAATAGATGGCACTCAGTGCGCCCACAATCAGAAAAAGCCCCTCCGTTAAGGCCATTTCTTTGGGGCTATCAGAAAATAATTCTTTTTAAAAAACTGGAAACTTCACACTGATCTGATAATATTATGGCAGATCCTTAAGCCCACAAAATCTAATATATATTTATATATATAATTGATCAAATTGAAATCGCACGTACGACCGACAATTAAGACGTCTAGAACAACATTGAGAATAACTTTCAGTTGAGTGCTCGTTTTTATAGGCAATCGTTTTGCAAAAGATTACACAGCAACATGCGAAACAAACAAGTTTATAACTGTTCAAAAATATAATAATGAAAGCGAAAGCTTATAGCTTTAATCTCTGTGTACTCTGCACCATTATAATTTTTCTCAAATCTCTATATGACGTTCCCTTCCAATTTAAATTTTTGGGGTTAGATGGAACGATGGTGGCTTCACAAGTTTTTGAATGATATTATCCAATCTCAAATTAATCATATATTGTTTTACAAATTTTCATATATATATATATATATACATATATATATATATATATATATATATATATATATATCTTGATTTAGATTGATTTTTTTAAATAGTTGAAAGTTCATATAATTTTATTTTAATATTTTAGATATATGGCAACTGTGTTTAGGGTATCTCATAGTCGAGCTCAATTGATTGAAGCACTCTTTGTTGTTTGGCTATTTACTTAGCACTCAAGTGATTAATCATTTAATCAATCCTCAACTTACTCGAAATACAAAGTATTCATTAAATATTACATTGTAGGTACATTTGTATATTAATCAAACAGTTCATAAAATGATGTTTACACTTTTGAGAAATTGATTTAAATATTAATCTGTAAATATAAAAATCAAATACAGTGATATTCTTACACATAGTCAATTTGGTACTAAATCTTATATTTAAATGTTTTTGCTTTTGTATTCAAAATATTAATGCAATGCGATCTCTAAAAAATTAAATATTATTTTAGTAATTATGTAAACGAGTGTCATATGTAAAGATTTCTTCAATTATATAGTACATAAAATAGCACGATTTCATACATTGTTGTAGCTTTTATCAGTTAGAAATTTGAAAATAAAAACAAATCGCTTCAAAGTTCTCAAGATAATTAAATTTGATACTGATAAGCTAAGCCGGTTTTTATTGGTGGCCAACAAGCTTGCGTCTTATGAAGGAGAACTGCTTGCCATATAATATTTTTAGATAGTAATTTTACTTTACATTTTAATATAAGTGCATTTAGGTTGTTAAATGAAAACATTTATGTTCATTCGTATGACATAATGCCAGGTGCTTAAAGTTCAAACTGGCCAGATTGCAATTAATAACAACAAATATAATTTAATAAGAACACTTTGATTATTACAAATATTTCTTCAAACAAATTGATAGCAGTTTATCTATCAAATGTCCATGGCACATAAAATATCATAAAATTTATTCTGCCATATTAACGTAGAGTCTATCGTTAACAATCTCCAGAAACATGCCCGAATTCAACTGCAGCACAACGGTCTTCGGATCAAATTCGATGTCCTTCGGTGTCTGTGAACAACAGCGAACATAATGATTCTTAAGGATGTGGACCAGACCCAGTTTAGTCTGAAGCAGGCCAATGCGACTGCCAATGCAATTGTGCGGACCCAGACCAAAGGGCTGATAGGCCATGGCCTCAATTGTCTTACGATTCTCAGGAGAGAAGCGTTCGGGATCAAAGACATTTGGATTTGGCCAGTACTGAAAGGAACGAAAGGTAATGAATCTGAATATTAGGAGGATTTAGGACAACTCAAACTCACCTTGGGATCACGTTGCAGTCCGTAAATTGGTATAAACACAGGCGTCCCGTTCTCCAGTTGGAAATCGTAGTATGGTTTGAGTGAGAAATCTGGCTGACCCTTGATGCCCTGATATTCACGATCCAAGAAAGGAAGAACAGGGTACAAACGCAACACCTCATCGACAACCATCGACAGATATTCCAAGGAATTGATTTTCTCATAGCTCAACTTGCCACTGCCCTCCTCAAGGAAAGCATTGTTGATCTCCCGGCGTAAGCGATCCTGCAGCTCTGGCTGCTTGGCCAGCTCCAGAAGACCAAAGGCCATTGTGGACGATGAAGTCTCAAAGCCAGCTGTAAAGAAAACTCCGGCCTGAGCCACCAGAAAGTCCGGAATGTTGGCCAAATGTGGTTTGTTGGGCTGCTGGGCTGCCTCCTTGCGCAGACCCACAAGAACATCAATTAAATCATTCCTCATAGTTCCCATTCGCTCTCTTTCCGAGATCACATGGCCGATGGTCTTGCGTATAAAGTTCGAGTACTCCTTCGTGAAGAACTTAACGCGAAAGAGTGACACGAGCTTAGGCAGAAAGAACACCGTAAAGAAGTCTATGCTGCGGGCCACAGTAGCCTCCAACACTCTTCGTCCTTGTTTCCGAAATTCAGCATCAGGATTCGTCAAGCTATTCGCACGCACCCCAAAAGCAATGGTGGCAATTGAATCTGTGCTGAATCTCGAGCACGTGTCCTTGATTTCCACAATGTTACTGGCGTCCTGACCAGTCTTCTGCTGGGCGAGATGCGCTTCTAAATCGTCAGCAATCTAGAAATTTTTGCGGCTTGAGATTTAATACAAAATTATTTCCAAAGAGTCAGAACACACCTCCTGCATCAAAGGATACATTTGCTTCAGCTTTCCGCTGGTGAAAACCGGAGTCAACTTCGACCTTATCTCCTTCCACTGTGGATTGCGCACAAAGAAGAGATTGTTGTTGCCCAAAGCATCGCCATGTGGGTCACAGCGAGCATAGCGATTGGAGAAACGTTGAAAGTCCTTTATCATCACGGATTTGATTAGTTCGGGCTCGCGTATAACTAATGCTGGCTTGTTTAACACATAGATGCCAACTACAGCCTCGTCCTGCATCTTGGGATCATTGTACACCTCTGAGATGTGCAGGCCAAACGAGTTCTTTTGCGTAAACACCGGCGAGGTATTCCCTATAATCGGCGTGGGCTGGATATAGGGTATTCCCTTACGCTGCCAATAGCTGTGACTGCGCTGAAACCACAAATAGATGGCACTCAGTGCGCCCACAATCAGAAAAAGCGCCTCCGTTAAGCCATTTCTATAGCAGTTGTAGATAATTGTCTGCCGTGAATATTTGATTGCTATCAAAGAAATAAAACTTAATTATTTCTTTCTGCACTGGACACTTGAAACTGATCTATTAATTTCAAGTATTGTGGCGGCTCTTATCATTTAGAAGATTGAACATAAAAACAATTCTCTTCAAAGTTCATAAGATCAGATATAAATAAATTTTACATTGATCAGTCAAACTAATCTGTTATATAATTGAATAAAGATGTACAAAAAACACATCTAACCGTTTATATAGTTTGAATAAATTTGCCCTTGAAATCGCGCGATCGACCGACCATTGACGCGTCTAAAACCACATTGAGAATCAGTCGAAGCTGAGTGCTCGTTTTATGAGCAAAACAACAGCTAACAGCTTGATAGCTGCTATAAATAAATTGAGTAGAAACATTGGCATAGCTGATAGCAGAAGCGAAATCTGTACATCCCACTCAATTTTCTTTTCAATTACGTACTTCATAACACATATAATACGTTCGATTGACATATAATATATTTTATAATCAATTGTACATTGCAGACATTATGCCTATCTATACAATCATATAAGCTAGTTATTCTTAAAGTTTTATCTGTCGAGTGATTAATGTAGCTTCTAAGCACTGTAGTGGTCTAAGGCTTGATAGCAACTATCGCGTAATGCCTGGGCGAAATAACCGGATCAAATAAATCAACAAGATGACTGTGCCGATAGCCCAGTTCCTTGAGATACAGCAGACGATCCAATAATATAAGTTTCTCAAGAACCGGGCCAAATGACATGCGCAGAAGATAAAACAATGATAGATAATGACGATCTAGTTCGTATTGTTGTTCCAACAATTGGAGCTCCTCCTCATCCACAGCTGCAAGCCAAGGGGCACTTATTTTATCGGCACACTTTTGAACATATTCCACAAAACCGTTGAATTTACGCACTTTGCCCACTTGCAGTTCATTCTTCAAGTGGGGCGCATGGCGACAAACCAAGAGTTCGAGCAATGAGCGATAGTAGAGTGTTATATTGGGTAATTCCTTGGCTGCGATTGTGCGCTCCATGGACTGGGCGGCAAGCATTCGTGCATTTCGTCCGAGGCGTAACTGACGACTCTGTAGATAGTTGCTCAGTGGAAAACCATAATCCGTTTGCTGCTCCATCAAGGCTTTATTGCCAAAGAATTCGTGTTGCGAGTAACGTTCACGTAACAAATGATAACAGCAACCTACGTTGCAAAGGATGCGACATTCCTGCTGGGCATGAAACACCTGCAAACAGGTGGCTGCCAAATTTCCACAGGTGTGCAGACCAGTTAAACATATTTGGGGGCTGTTTCGGGCTGCCTGGGCCTGCTCGAAGTGCTCCTCTATCAGAGCCGTCAATTTCAATTCAGTTGTAATAAATCTAGATGTGGTTTTATAATTGTCCGGTGGGGGCGTAATTATAGATTTATCCACTTCTGACTTCTGCTTTTTGCCGCGTCTGGCTGGTTTTATTCCTTGACTCTCCAGATCAGCGCGTTCCGTTAAACCATTCCATGCGCGCTATTTAAAAAAAAAGAATAGGTACAGTTGCAAATCAATTCGATAGAAACACACCTTCCAACACTGCTTACTTGATAATAGAAAACGTTATAAAGGCGGATTAATGAATGTAAATCAATGAAACCAAAATAATAGATTAGCACACTTATCACACACCTTATACTGTTTTGATAAATAAATTCTGTGCATTACTCAATTTTTAATTGCTGTTTATTATTTATCGAGCAGAGCACACCGCACACACATTTGCCAACACTGCACACTTGACGCTTGAACAACCCTGTCTATAAGCAGCTGTCAGTTCTTGCTGCTTGCACGACGCGAAAACGTTTCTAGCCGGCAAAGTATATTTTGCGCGAATTTCAGTTTTCACCAAAATAAATAATAATTAAAAAACCAAAATGTCGGCTGGCATGCCCATCAATCCAAAACCATTTCTAAATGGTCTAACCGGCAAGCCGGTGCTCGTCAAATTGAAATGGGGCCAGGAATACAAAGGATTTCTAGTGTCCGTCGACGGCTACATGAATATGCAGTTGGCCAACACTGAGGAAGTTATCGAGGGCTCTGTGACGGGAAATCTAGGCGAAGTCCTGATACGCTGTAACAATGTGCTCTACATTAAAGGCATGGAGGATGACGACGAGGAGGGCGAGATGCGCGATTAACACAAAACAACAAAAAAACATTTTTAGCATTAAGTGTAACAATGAATGATAGTAATGGAAATAAATATATATTATTTATATATATAAAAACATACCTGTAGCTTGCGATTGCGTGTCAACGCGTTTTCAGTGTTTGATATATTGGCATCAATGCCCAGCACACGATGCCCAAACTGAAGTGCCAATCTCGACGAGAGATACCCTTTACCATCGCCAGCATCGACAATATAACAATTTGCTGCTGCTGAGCTACTTTGGACGAGTTTGTTAACTAATGCCGCGGTTAGTTCCACCTATTGAGACAATCATTTAACCTTATACAGACACTGTTCTTTTCCAGCCAGGAACACGTACCTCATGACACTTTTTGGCGCTCATAAATTCCCGTATGCTTAGCTGCTGCGTGTCTGTGCTTGCAGCCAGTAGCTCTTCCACTTGTTCCACTGTTGTCAACAACTCCGAGCAGCATTTGAGTCGCTGCCGCTCGGCTGCAGCTAAAAATTTTGACAACGCTGGGAATTGCTGTGAGTCACATTCAGTGTGCCAAAACAATTTCTCTATGGCCAGATTTATGTCAATATCACTGCGCAGCTCAGCTCGCACTGCATCGGGTACAAACTGGAGCCAATGATTGTCCGTTAGATAGTTGACCATGTGACAATTGACAAACTTCCAATGCGGGTCCAAATATTCCAATAAACGATCGATGGAACGCTGCAAGTCTGCTACGTTGGGAGTCATTTTTAAGCCGCTGTCGCCACTAGAAACTGTAATCCTTCCGTTGCTCTTGTGCTAAGCTGCCACTCTGCTTCTGCTGCTTGTTGCCAAGCTGAGCGCAGAAGCGTCGATGAGTGTTGCGAATGTGTTCAATAGCGCCAATGATATCTGCTTCAGGATCGTCGTTGGAGCGCGGAAACTGCTCGATGAGTTGCCGCAACTGGTGCAATGTGCGCTGCACTTTTTCCGTATGCTGTTGTTGTTGTTGTGCCACCACTTGGCCGTAAATGGCACCCAATTCAGCGCCAAGTTGCACGCCCTGCGCGTAGCCAAGTTGATAGCCCTCGTGATTTCCTTGGGTGCGACCCTCGCTGATGCCCTCCTCGTAGCCCTGGCGAGCGTGTTTCTCCTCAGTCAGCACAATGTCGTCGAACAGATCGTTTATATCGCGCGACGCTGCGTCGGACATCGTTGTGTTCCCGTTGTGGGTCAGCACTTATCGAAACTAACTTTGTCGATGTCGATAGCAATGAGCAACTAGTTGCAGCAGTATTCCCATTTTTCAACACTTGAATTATTAATGTTGACAAAAAGACAATCAGCTGTAAATAGTTTATCAACAGAGCAATAATGAAGGTCTGCGTACAGATAGAAAAAAAATCGATAAGGAAAAAATACGAATAGCGAAAATTTTCTTATATTTTCGGTTTAGAGGGACTGCAAAACTGAAATCCACTGTTAAGCTGTCTAGATTCCGTAAACAGCTGTCCAACGCTGTCAAAACAATGAATTATCGGCAGACCACCATAAAAGCAATTGCCAACACCAGAAGTAAAATGTTCTATAATTTTAATGCTCGATCTGCCCTGTTATTTTTTTTTAATAATTTACACTAATGCTTAAAGCAAGGCACATAGCTGGAACTAATATAATTCTAATGCGATTCGTTTACGACTACTCATCCCAAGCAGCGGCATCATCATCGTCATCATCATCCGAATTGCGCTCATCGCTGGAAATGGAAACTTTGCTTTGCTTCTGCACAATAATCTTGGACAACTGCAGCATCATGGGATTGCCCGATTGTTCCGCCGGATTCTGACTGCCGGAGATGCCCTTGCGACGCAGCATCAGTTTATTATGCAGATCCGCCATCAAATCCCCGCCGCTGCTATTCGCAGCCCCTGATCCACCTGCCCGGGAACGTGTCGCAAGATTCGCAGCATTATTTTGTGTATCTACCACATCCAGATCAATGGGCGCTGCAGCCCGCAAGCGGCCGCCATGTGCACCTCCCGCCTTACGTATGGCATCCATCAGCTCCATACGCGGATCGGCGGGCGGCGGAGCCCGGGAACTTGGTATATTCAATGGTGTTTGCACTGACGGCGATATTGGCTTGATGACGCCATCCGTTGGAAAATTCTGCTCTGCAAATGCTGCCGGTGGCATGAGTTGAGGAGGAGGTGGTGGTGGTGGAGGTGGCGGAGGAGGGGGAGGTGGTGGTGGTGCAGCAGTTTTTACACCCTTTGGCGGCACCGTTCGATGGTTGTTCTTCCTGGTCATATGGGTTTGGGCAGCCAACGCCTGCACCGTTATCGCCTGCTCCATTTCAATAGCTTTCTCATCCTCCGGTTGCGGTTCGGGTTCGTTTTCATTTAACCCCGGCAGATCTGGCAGATCGACAAACTGATGCGATGGCGCAATGGGCGTCTGCTCCTCCACAGGCTCGTATTGCAGATCATTCGCAATGCCCGGCAAATCCGGCAAATCTAGTGGTACATCAATTGCTGGCGCTGCCAAAGCAGCTGGCGTATAACGCAAATCTCCAGCGGGTGTGGCCAACTTGATGGTGCCATGGGAGAGTGAGTGTGGGGCCGGTGCCAGCAATGCACTTGACCTGGCAGCTACAGCGGGAGTAGCACGCTTGTGGCTGCTCCTCTGCGGTGGCAATGTGCGTTTCCAGGCATTGAGATCCTCGTTGCCATCCTGGCCACCGGCATAGGCAAATTCGTTGGTATTGAAACGCATCAATGTCGGCACCGATTTCGTTTCCGGCAGCGTACCCAAACCCGCCATGCGATTGGTTTGCTGACGTTCGACGACAAGCGGCGTTTCCAACTGTTCCTCGCCGCGCACATGAAAGAAAACCGTGTCCAGCTCGGCACCCGATGGCTGCTCCTCGAGTGCATCATTCAAGTTATTAGTGTGACGTCGTCGCTGCGAAAATTCAGCTGGAACTGCTGCTGCTGACGACGTCGACGTCTCCATTGATGTTGGCTTTTGGTGATCAACAACCTGGGGAAATGTTGCCGAGATGTTGATGTTCAGTGTCGAGGTACCAGGAAAGCGGGCGGGCGCGTAGATTTTGATTGATTTCTTGGAGCCGACGAGTGCATTAATTTTTGCTTGCGCACGCAAGACTCGCTCATTAATTAGCTGAACGTGGACACCATTTCTTGCCAAGCGAGCATCGATGCGCCCAAAAATTGAGTTGATAGTTTTGTTTAGGCAGTCGAGCGATTGGGCTGCTCTGATTATTGTTTCCTCGTGCTGTAGATCCGTTGGAATTATCGACACCTGGTAGGCGCTGTGCACACACCTATCGCTCTCCTCCATTTTTGGGCGTAGCACTTAAAATTTGTTAATTTCATTAATCACTTATTTTCCATGGTCGCTTAAACTGCGATCCAAATCAACAGCTGGTTGTTTTGTGTGCGGCGTTGCCAACACTTCTTTTATTGCTATGTAAACCGCTATCGATATTTTATGCTATATATCGAATAAAGAATGCCTATCGTTCAGTTAATCGCGTCAGTGTGCTTATCACTGACATCACTAGTGCACACTCATCAAATTCATTGAAGTTGTTACGTGAAAAAGTTGTCAAAGGCTGATTTTGTTTAGTTTTAAAAGTGCTCAATTCATATTTTTACTGCATTAAAAGTGCGTTTAACTGTACAAATGTATAATAATATAGCAAAGGTATGCTTGCCACCAAATTTCAATTGAATGCAAATTGTTCTTAAACCAAGCGTGTGCGTGTGTGTGTGTGGGTATACAACATAAACGTGGCTACTGCAATGAAAATTATGGCGAAAAACATCGAAATCATCAAAATCTAAACAATACTAACGCAAAAGTGTACATTTGGCAATTGTTTGCATTAAATATCGACCTTTTCAAGAAGCGCCTAATGAATTTCGCAGCAGTGTAAAAAAAATGCGTATTTGCTTGTCTAGTGGTCGCCATTTTGAATATGTGCTGAAAAATTCTCCTCCCGCCCTGTTGCCTGTCTGTGTTTATTGTTTGCCCACGAACGTGTGCATGTGTTTGTGTGTATATATAATATACAGATCGATATATATTTATTAAAATACTTGTTACATGTATGTGTGATTTTTTTTTTGCCGTGACTCCGAAGCCACATCAACAATAAATATAAAATATGCATGTATGCGTGTATGTCATTTCCTTTTTATATATACAAACGTATGTTTATGTTTGTCTGTTTGTGTGCGTGACTTCACATAAAAACGAGGGTTGTGTGGACGATATCGAATTATTCATAAATTACCGATAACTCTAAATACATATTTGCCAAATACTAATTAAGTTCTTTTTTCTTTGCGATTTCTTCACTTTGACAGCTTAACAACTCTGCAATTTAATTTGTTAATCGCTCAAGAGCATATATATATAACGGAGTCCGGAGAACCCTAGGTGAATCCTAGAGGCCTTATTATGGAACATATATTGCAATCGTATCCAGAGGATGCGCGCCGCATTGGCGAAGAGTATTTGTCCAGTTTGACGGATTTGAATTGCAATAGCAAGCCGCTCATCAATATGCTCACAATGCTCGCCGAGGAGAACATCAACTTTGCCCAAATCATTGTGCGCGTGGTGGAATATCATATCAGCCAGGTTAACAAATAATATACCATAATTAACTACAAAAACAAAACAAAAAAAAACAGCCAGAAAGCACTCACACACACACAGACATACAAATTTACTCTACTCACACACAACGTGAAGTGATCTGAGTCCAAGCATCGGCAGTTGTGGTCACCACATGATCTCCATGTTATTAGAAATCTGTGTGCAACGAACACGACAGAGTTGAAAAACTATCGACAGTATTGCCTCAGGGGACGTTATTTTAAAACACTCTTCAATTTAATTCTCGCAGTTAACAATTTTAACAATTACTAACTAATGATCATAATATATTATACATATTTCATGAATTCATTTAGAAAAACCCAACATTAAATATTATCAGATTACTGGGAATCTGTCATTTCTGAGCGAGCCTAATTCCAAATATATATAATAATATATATATGTATATATTATTTTAAACAAAGGCAATACTATCGATGGTTTTTTGGCCCCTTAGACATTTGTGTGGCAATATCAACGAAAGTGGCTTCAAAATGTATTATTTATTTCATTGATATTTCCCCGTCAGCCCACGCTGATGTATATAAGCTCAAATTTTCGTTTTATTCCGGTCAATAGCTTAAGATATTCACATTGCGCTATTGGTTTTGGGTTTAAACTTGAAAATTGAAAAACCTATCGTTACTCAGTTCAAATATTTATTAATGGGTTTTAAGCAGATTGACTGAATTTTTTATCCTCTACAAGGTAAGACATTTAAAATATATATATTTTTATTCTTCCTATATTTTTCCTCGATACCTTGAAGTACATGAAATACATAAAAGAAATCGAAAAAAGAAAATTGCAAATAAAAGAGAAAATACTTAAACAATTGTCATCAAGTTGTCTTTTATTTTATACAATGATAAAAAAGCACATTGCCCTAATGAAAAACACCCAAAACAAACAATTAATAACAAAAAACTAGTCACGCAGCGATTTTAATATTGCAAAAAAAAAATGTAATAATAATAATACAAAAATTTGGCAAAAATGGACACAAATCAGTAATGTATTACACTAAAAAAAAAGCTAACGGTATAAATTCGCATAAACTCCTCGTCGTTGTTATTAGAATATGGTATATTAAAAAGGTACTGATCAATATTTTATATTGATAAAGACAAGAATTTGATTTTCAAACAAAATTATTTTCATCGAAAGATTTAATGTTATAAAAGAAATAGTTAATCATAAAAGGATATTTTCGTATATATGTTTTCTACATGCATACAAAGTTCAATTTAGATTGAGGATAAGATAAGTTGCTAAAAATTATTATAAATAATCTGAATTGAGGAAGTGCGTTGGTTTTTCTACAGCTGGTAAAAAAAAAATCTTGGGTTCCAACTACAGATTGAAGAAGGGTTGCTAGTCTAGTTAGTTTCAACTGTAGATTTTTTTGGCTAACGCTTTGCTTTGATCAACAACTGACTATCAAATCCAAATCTGTCCCCAAAAATCACAACATGGAGATGCATCGGTGTCTTTGCAGCTGTCGTCAGCGTAACCAGGACAAAAATGTGAACGGATTAATGTGGATGATGAAAAGACAAAAAAAAATCTCAGATCTCTCTGTGACTGCGTCCACACACTTCGCTAACGACGTTGTCGAAACTTATGTTCTATTTATGTTCTTACCTATCTTACCAAATCAAACAGGTGCCGCCCGAATTCAAATTGCCCATACTATATTTAATTGATTCGATAATTAAGAATGTGAAAAGCAGCTACGTCCAGCTGTTTGGGCAATGCATAGTCAATATATTTCTCAACGCCTTCGAATCGGTAAGTCAACAAAACAACCTTAACAAATAAATAAGAAATGAACAGTTGCCTAAATTCATCTTTAATATTTAATATTAAATTAGGTGCAACATTCGCCGTCGTCGGTGCTGGAGAAGGTGCGCGAACGTATGTATTTGCTGCGCCAGACATGGAATGAGGTCTTCCCGCCGACCAAGATGTATGCGCTGGATGTGAAGGTCAAGCGACTGGACAACAATTGGCCCATTACAGCCAAACCGATACAGCCAAATAAAATCCACGTTAATCCCGCCATACACGTCAATCCCGATTTTCTAAAAACAGTAAGTCTGAAATAAAAGAAGAAAAAAAGTAGACCCTCCATTAAAGCAATTATCTAAAAACTAGGGCATGGTGAGTATGCCCCTTACCAAGGAGCTACCAATGGAGGAAATGCTGCAGGTGAAGACGCGAGAGCTGCTTGAGCTGAAGAAGCGCAAGCTCGAACTCGAATTGGAGCAGACGAATATGCATTTAATGCAGCAGGAGCGTCAAATACATCAAACAGCGGATACGATTGGTGTGGCGCCGCCGGGCATGGGTATGCCAGCACCAGTCGTCGCTGCACTGCGTCCACCTGGCATGGAACCGGCAGCAACCGTCGTCCCACCCATGTATCCCGGCAGCAGCATTCGTCCACCCGTTCGTCCCATGATGCCAGTTGTCGGCCAACAATCGGTAAGAGTCAATAATGCTGAAAGAAACAAAAAAAAAAGTGAATCCATCCCTAATCTAAATCTTTTTCACAGTCTTTTGCCAATAAGCCCAAAGTGCATCCAGTCAATCCGGCTATGGTGAATACGGTGCGTCCACGTGATCCACGTCTGGCGCGCCAAATGCAGCCACAACAGATGGCAGCGCCCGTAATGCGTAGCGTCGCTGATCCCCGGCTGGTGGACGGCAGCCACAAATCAGGCTCGGCCATTTCAGCACACAAATCTAGTCGATCGCGCAGCAAGTCACCAACGCGCAGCAGTAGCAAGAGCAAGTCCAGCAGCAGCAGCAATCATCACAGCTCCAGCTCGAGCAATCGCAAGCGTAGCGAATCCAAGAGCTCCACATCATCCTCGGGCTCGGGCGATGGCACCAGACATAAGATTAGCAACATCAGCAGCCAGTCGCCGACAAAGCGTTCGTCCAGCTCACGCTATGCTCACAATGGCAATGGCAACTCGCCGGCATCCTCCTCCACCACTTCCTCCTCATCAAAACGCAAGAGCAGCTCACCAGCGGCCGCCAGCAGTAGCAGCAACTCACCCCTGAAATCGATGAAGCGCAATCAAAGCACACACAACAAAAATACACACACAACGAGTCGCAGCAAATCCTCCGCCGCCAGCAATGAGCGATCTTCTCGCAGTCGATCGCCAGTGTACAGCAGGGATGTGGATATGCGTAGCGTGGAGCGTAGTAAATCACCAGAGCCAAAAGCAGCAACAGCAACACAAGGAGCAACTCCAGCAGCAGCAGCTCCTTCAACAGAAACAACTCAGCCAGAAGCAACAGCAGCAGCTCCAGCAAATGATTTAGAGAAACGTAAGAAACAATTTTTAATTATAATTTCACACACAGAAGAAGTCGAGTTAATCGACAGTATCATGAAGACTGTTAGCAATTCAAATGACAAAGTAGTAGTTGAATTATGCAGAAATTACAAACCAAATTGGCGGCATCCAAGGCTCTGGTGGGGAATGGGAGGCGGTTGTTGGTGGGGGCGTGTCTCATTTTGAAAGGCTGTTTCAATTCACTTTTCACTTCAATGATTCAAAAAAAGAAAACCAAAGTATATTAGTAAAGTGCAAAAATAGTTTGTAAATTATATTTAACTAGCAGCTTATTAAAGCTGACTAAAATGTTAAAAGGAAAGTTGAAAATTGTAAAACTCTTTAAAAAGAAATCAAATTTTATTTTTAAAAAATTAACTTTACGCAATATACATTTTTTTTAAAGCTATACGAATATGATTTATTATTAAAGCTTTAGGCTTCAACTAGTTGCTCATTATAGCTGGCTATAATGTATAAAATTTACAAAATATTTAACGTAAAGTTTAAAAAAATTCTAAATTGTAAACATTAGCTTTACGTAAAATCCATATTATTCATTTTTTTTTTTTTTTTTGAGCTTTACGAATATAATTTACACATTAGAATGCGCTTTACTGCCTATACTTTTGGATATAGCAAAGATGCCTCTTTGCCCGTTCTGTGTTCATTTCTAAAAACGCTTTCGAAAGCGTTTTCACTCGAATCGTGTTTGGTGTGTTTTTTTACTCGTTGCTTCACTCGATCAAGTTTTTTTTTTTATTTTTTTTCTGTGGGATTATTGTTATTGTTTATATTTCCAAATTTGAAACGGAGCTATATAATCCTATAATATTTATGCACATTTTTTTAATACTTAAGAGTAATGCCAAAGTTCAAATTAACATTAAATATAAAAACCAATAAAAAAAGAAAACAAGAAAACAAAACGAAACGAAAACAAGAAAGAAAGAAAAAACAAATAAAATGCGCTTGAAAACCTTTTGCATTCCAGTTGTTTTAATTAATGCAAAATGTAGCCAGGTGCCGCCTTTGGTGTAATTTTAAGTCTATTCACTTTGTGTAATTGTAAAAAAAACCAAAAAAAAAAAGAAGTAACAAATCCTTGATAAATATTTGTGAAGAAATTGTTGTACCCGATATAAAAAAATGATATTTATATATCAGTTTTGATAAAACTAAGAAGAAATAAAGACTGCAGTTTTAATTTGTTGTTCAAGCCTACAAAAAAACAAAAAAAAAAACAACCCTTAAAAAACTCCTAAATAATCTTTAACTTTTGACATATATAAACGTAAATATTTTTATAAACAATAATTTATTTAAGCGTATATTTGTAGTTGTATTATATTTTAATAATACAAACAGCAGCCAAAACAAATATGTATATTTACTATGTTATATCTAATTTTCATTATTATTATTATGATATTTTATTTTTTGTATTTGTAGAACGGCACTTTTTTTTACAACATATAGCTAATCTCTTATGGTCCCTTTTAATTTTTTTTTTATAATATTTAGTCTAACATGGTTCCTTAACGGAGTCGCCCACCTTGCAATTTGAATAGTTTTTATGATTTATTACTAATTTCTTCTAGCCCCATTGCTGTGCCTGGTGTTTGTTGATGCCCCGTCCCCTATTTTTTTCTATTTAATTTTATATACAATTTATTTATTTTTTTTTTGGTTAATTCCCTTACACACATCTTGGTTAGTTATAGTTTGGGCCGAGTAATATTTCTTTTTAATTATCGTTTGCTGTAAGAATTCTTAGTTTTTGTTGTGGAAGCATAAAAATATACCAAATTTCTAGCTACATTTCAAATACTTGAACCAGGCCCACGTCCTTCCACGTCGCCGCATATAGATGCATCTAGCATGGACGTCGATTTGCGGCCAATGAATTTTGCTCAGTTGGCCGCGTTGTCGTCTATAATTAGGCCAACAACGCCGCCGCCGCCGGCCATAACAACAGCAACTGTCAGCAAAAAAGCGACAACAACAACTATCACAGCAGACACCAGCAGCACAACAACAAATGCTAGCAGCGCCTCCAACGCAACAGCAACAACAACATCGAACAGTTGTTCCTCCTCCAAATTGCCCACAAAAGTGTCGTTCAAAATACAAAAACCGTTTAATAAATTAGAAAAATCTACAGCGAATTTATCAACAGCAACACTGCTAACAGCAACAACAACAACTACAACAGCAGCAGCAGCAGATACAACAGCCGTAAGCAGCAAGCAATCCTCGCCAGCGCCCGCCTCATCCTCCTCCGCCACGGTAGAGTTGGTGGTGCCACTTGGCAATAAGGGCGCCGGCGAGAAACGCTCGGCTGTTCAGCTGCCAACGGATGCCGACTCGGATGAGGATGATAAACTGCAGCAGCCACAGCAGAAACGCAGCAAATCCGCCAAACTGGATGCGTAAGTTCGACCTCAAAACTTAATCTCTTAATCTTCTCATTTATTTTTGAACTATTCACCAGTCTGTTTGGCAGCGAGGATGTGGATTTAAGGCGAGCGTTGCCCGCCAAGCAACCTATGCTTGTGACCGGTGGCGTTATCGTCGTCGAAGATGACTCCATGGACAATTGGGAAGTGAATAAGGTGTGTATTATTAAATTATTATATATTTTAGCTTATGAATAATAATAATAGAGCACAAGTGGGTGATCCCAAGTGCTGTAATAATACACGACGATGTGCTTAAAGCTTAACTTAAACTGCTGCCGATTTATGCTTCGCCAGGTTCATAGAAACATTTTAAATTATCTTAAAACTATCTATATTTATTCGTATCCCTCTTCGACGATTATCTAGCTACTGGGTACACATGTGCAGCTGCAAACGCGTCTAGACTTATGTTATCACCATATAAGTTTTATAAGAATTCTTATCGCAGAAGCTCTTATTAGGGTTCACTTCTTTCCCTATGTTTCCTATAAGAATTTAATTGTGCTGTTGGAAGGCTTGCCCTTTCAGGATGCTTACACTTTTCTATGATATTAAATTTTAGATACTAAAGTTTAATTTTATAATGGAAGATTATTTACTATAACTTAAAATTACTCATCTTTGTCAACTTAGCAAACGGCGAAACCGCTGTCGCCCGTCAAGAAGCCCACGTTGGATGAGCTGCGTGCCAAGCTGGCCAAGACGGTACGACACAACAACAAGCTGTCCAAGTTGGGTAAATAATGCAAACAAATAATCCAAATACTGATTTTAATCAATGATTAATGCTAGCAGATAAGAGTAAAGATCATGTTGTGGCGCAGCGTCTGAAGCTGCTGTCGGAGCTGAAGTCCAACGATGATTCGCAGGAGGCGCACGACGAGAAGATGCGCACGATACTTAGTCAGGCCCAGGAGATGTTCGAGAATCATGGCATGAATCAGGAACAGTACAAGGATCTAGTCACCAAAGTGGTTGTCATGAATGAGAGCAGCAAAGGACTGAAGGAAATGCGGCGACGCGAAGCAGCCGCCGCCGCAGTTAATAATGACGAAGATGATCTCGAAATGGAACGAAATGCGGCACGTGATGCAGTGCTGCGCAAGCGGATACCCAAGCTCAAGGGCAATGAGAATCATCATCAGCATGCCACAGGCTCGCCACGCAGCGATGGTGAACCACGCTACGAGGAGCAGCAGCCGGAGAAATTACAGCAGCAACAGCAGCAGGCGCCGCCAAAGCAAACGAAAACCAAACGGGATGGCAAGCGACGCAAGCCGAGCAAGTGGGGCGAACAGGTGGATCCGGCAGCAGCGCAACGTGCCGCCTGGCAACTGCAGCAACAACAGCAGCAGCAACAACAAAACAACAACAATAATAATAACAACAACAAGCGCATGCCGCAATCGAATATCTTGCCTGGTGGCGGCGGTTTTCGTGGCATGCCCTGGCAACATCCCCCTTTGGTTATGCAACAAGCTGTCGCACCACCACCACCACAACCACCATCGATGCTAACAATGCCACCAGTGCCGCCCGTCGTTAACATCACCAAAGCCATCAATTCGTTGGATAATCCCATGGCGGATGTGGTGCGCAGCATCACCATCGATGGTGGCAGCAAAGAGATACGCTTCTACAATCAGGTTGCCATCATATTCATGGATGGCGATGAGCCGCACGAGATTGGCTTTCAGCAAGGCCAGCGTGCCATTTATATTGATCATAACAATGAACCGTTGGCGCTTAGTTTTAATGATGACTATAAACCCTTCCAGCTGGATGGACAATTACATCGCATACGGTTTGGACATCCATCGAGGGAGCTCTACATTGATGATCATTGGTATGAGATCTATTTTGGCGGACCACCCGTTTCGCTGCCCATTGGTAATAAGCTGCATGTGCTCAAGGCGGAGGGACCACCGCCCAATGTTGATATTGGACGAGTGCGTCGTGATCTTGTCGTCGGCAAGATCAATATGATTGTGGATGCGCACACAATTGTGCCACTTTTTCTCGATGGACGCCAGCAGACGTTCCATTTGGGCGCCGAACAACATTCGTTGCAGTTTGTCGACAGTTTTCTGTATGCCCTGCTCGATGGCCAGCTCCAGAAGCTGGAGTATGGTGGCCTGCCCAAGAGCATGAAGCTGAATGGCGGTCGCAATTGTTTCATACGCTTTGGCACGCTGCCCAAGAGTGTGCAGGCGGGCAAGACCCATGTGCAAGACATGGTCTATATTAAAACTGAGGCGCCCGCAGAGCCACCTCAACCGCCACCTCTGCCAGTGGTGATTGCACCAGCGCAACCACCACCGATAGTTAATCCTCTCGAGCAACAGCAGCCAGCTGTGGCAGATGTGGCTTCTGCGGTTTCATTGCCTGATGCGACAGCAGCGCTGAGTAATCTTAACATTGATGAGCTCTTCAAGAAGCTCGTCTCCTCGGGCATAATTGGTGCGCCAGCAGCAGCAACAGTTACAGCAACAACAGCAGCAGGAGTCGGTGCCAACAAACCAGTCAGCAGTTTGCCTGCTCTCGAGGCCAGCTCCACTGTCAGCAAAGATGCAGCTGCTGTAGCAGCACCATCAACGGAGGAGCCCATCAAGCGCATTGACCTCCAGAAGCCGGATACGATTAAGACGCGACAGGCGGCTGTTATTGCCACACTATATTTGGGAATGCAGTGCAGCAGTTGTGGCGTTCGCTTTCCACCCGAGCAGACCATCAAGTACAGTCAGCACTTGGATTGGCATTTCCGACAAAATCGACGCGAAAGGGATTCCACACGCAAGACAACATCGAGTCGTTGGTTCTACGATCTCAATGATTGGCGACAGTACGAGGAGATCGAGGACATCGAGGAGCGGGAGCGTAACTTTCTGGAGTCGCAGGGCCAACAGTTGGGTGGTCTGGGTCCCAACGATGGCAGCGATGAGGTGTCGCAGCAACGTTCCCTGGATTCACCGGTGCCCAGTTGTGCCGCCGGTGCTGAGGATGTCGATCGCAGCTGTGACATGTGCCACGAGAGATTCGAACAGTTCTACAACGAAGAGCTGGAGGAATGGCATCTGCGTTCTGCCATTCGTGTCGACGAGAAAACCTATCATCCGTTGTGTTATGAGGATTACAAGGCATCGCTAAATCCACCAGCGCCCGTCGTGGGCGTCATCACTGATGGCGTTGAATCTTCACAAGCCAATGGCGATGTGGATATGTTGAACCTAAGCGATGATAATGCCATGGATACGCTCATCAAGTTGGAGGATGATTCGGGTAAGTGTCAGCTGGTTATTTTTATTATTATTGTATTTATAAATCAGTATAATAAATTATAGCATCACTCTCACAATAAATGTTTTTAAAGGTGTCTGTTTTTAAAATTTGTAAGCTTAAGGAATTTTTAAATACGTTTTTAGAAATGGAAGAGACTATTAAAAAAGTATGAAAAAAAAATTTTGATTTTATTAAATTAAAATTAAAACTGAAACTGAAATTTAAAAAATATATATATACATTGCAAAGAATTCCAGGAGAAATACTTTAGTAACTTTAACATTTAGGTGGAATACTAAACAATATATTATTAGTGTACTAAACAATGATGTTATTAGTTTTCGCAATTGTATATATAAAATATATTCCATTCAACATTTATGCAGAGTATGCTTAAATCCTTTGAAATCTCTTCAATACACTAATCCTCCTCAATTCTTCCACACACAGATGATGGCAAAAAGATGCTGAGCGTAGACGATGATGATGACGATGATGTAATCGTGCTGCCCAATGAGGAGCCGAGCGTTACCGAAATCGTTGACGATGATGATGATGAGGAATATGTGCCGGCAACTGTGACAAGAACTGCTGAAACGGAGCTGGGCGACAGCGATGAGCAGAAGGATAAACCAACAGCAACCAGCTCCTCCCCCAGCGGCGAACAAGACCAGCAGCAGCAGCAAGAGAAAGATAATGAGTTAGAGAAGAAGGAACTGGATAAAAAGAATGCCAACGAATCGGATGTAGATGTGGAGATCCAGGAGCCAAACATTCCCTTCACAGATCTGGATACCTACGTCGAAAAGGAGCCCATGCCCATGCTCCAAGTGAAGATAAAAGAGGAGCCCAAAGATGATGACGAGGAGGACGAGGACGATGGCTTTGAAGATGTGGGCACTGTGGTGCAATTGCTGCCACTGCCAGAAGATGAAATCTCGATACACAGTAGTGGTAAATATTATTATTAGTTTATTTTAAAAGCTGATCTCTAATTAAATTAATGGACTTCCGCTGGTCGGATAGAAACGCAAACGCAAACCATTGAATCATCTGCGTCGCCGGCAACGCTGGAGCGTCCCGCTTCGGTGGCATCGCTCTCATTGCCAGCTGCGAATGAGGATGAACTGGAACTGGAGTCCTTAGCGGCGGCAACAACTGAGGCTGATTTTAACGGTGAGAATGCGCAGGAGGCACACAATCTGAGCGCAGCGGGTTTGGCGCCGGCATTACCTTTGGCTAGCATAGTTAATAAAATAAAAATAAATATCACTAAGAACACAAGTAGTAATAGTCATAATAGTGCCTCAACAACCACAACAACAACAACGATGACGCCGATGACGTCAGCGGACTCCTCGCAAGTGTCGGCCATTAGTGTGATTGGCTACTCTGCCAATGCCGATGGGCAGCACCAACAGCAGCAGCAGCAAAATTCAATACAAACCATTTCCACGATTCCAGTGTTGTGCGGCGGCAACACATTTGTACCGAAGATTGCCACTAGCAGCAGCAATTGTTCCACAAATGCGCCGCCATCCAATATTAGTTCCATTTCCGTTATTGGGAGCACTTATGGCAGCAGCAACAACAACAGCAGCGGCAGCAACAATGGCGCCACGCACACAACAACATCATCGATGGGCGGGCCAGGAGCAGCAACAGCAGCAGCTACTTCCGGTACGTCGTCTGCTGCTGGTCAAAAATCGACAACTCCACCGCCCCCAAAAGCTGCTGTCGAAGCTATCGATCCCGAACCTGTTATCGAACTGAAGCCTGCGCTGCGAAATGTGACGTTGAAGAAGACAAAGAAAGTTCAAAATGGCGTCGAAACTTCCGGCTTGTGCTCCATCATGTAAAGGGAGTGCGAGAGCGAGAGAGAGAGAGGCACACATGCATATTATTCCTACTATTCTCACTTACATTTTTTTTAAATAGCAATCTTACAATTTTAATTTAGAACGTTACTTAGTTTTAGACAATTTACAGAAGACGCGCGATTTGTTCTCTCTGTAGGTGTACGTACGTAGCAGCCAAATGATAATACATATAAATAATAAACATCAACCAACGATCGCCTGGGCAGCGCACAGAGGGAAAACACTTAATTTATTTTTACAATATATACTGCAAATAATAAAAAGAAAACTTTTTTACACAACAAATGCGAAATCAACGTATATATAAATATACATAATTTGTGATAATTTTACTACACACACTCGAGAGAAATTCAGTTACACAAATCAAGCTTGATTTTTGTCATTATTTGTCATGCATCGAAATTGGAACAATAAAAATATTAAAAGCTGAATTCAAACTAATCAATTCGATTCAATTAATCTTAAACAATTACATGTTTACTATATATTTACCTTACATATTCTTACATATTGCAATAAAGGTACCGGCAATAACCAAATAAAAGAGTTGTTATTATTTAAAGAATTTTATTAAGTAAAGGCAAGTTTGTTGACTTCAAAGTTTGTTACTGATCTTGCCAAAAGAAGTCGATTTATTTTTGGAATGCGCGCCAAACCATTGCTGGAAAATGATACAAAGTCAAAGCAGCCAGCTTGTGCCACGCTGCATGCCCAGCAAACAGCTGTTTTATAAGAAATTGACCAAATAAGCCCAAACGCATTATACTATGCACGTGGGCCTGTTTAGCGTTTTTTTATGTTAAAGAATTTGTAATTTTATAAAATGTCTTCATCGTTTTTCCTAAAACCCGGTGCCGCCAAACAGGCTAACAAAAAGCGCAAGGTAAGTGCCAAGCAGTAAATGAAAATGGAAAAACACACATAATATGTTTATTTGATATTAGATAAATGCGACGAAAGCAAAAGGAAAATTGAGTTCAAAACCGGGCAAAAGAACACAAAATGCAACAAATGCGCCGCCAAAAAAACAACGTCGGGCAAAAGCGGACGACGAGGAAATAGCCAGCGATGAAGAGGAATATGATAGTGGCAATAAAACGCTAGTATATTCAACGGACGAAGAGGGTGTTGAGGAGGAAACAGCACAAGATAAACGCCTGCGTTTGGCCAAAAAATATCTGGAGGAGATTGAGAAACAAGAAGCGGATCGCGTTGAGGATCGCGACTTGAGTCAGAGCGTCGAGCAGCGACTACAAACCGAGTATTTGGATAGTGTGGGTCGATTGCGCCGCAATATTGCTGCCACCATAAAATCCTGCAGCATTCAGTGTGCACTAAAAAACAGACTCCACCATAGTCCAATTTGTGCCCTGGCTTTGAGTGCGGATGGACGACATTTGTATGTCGGAGCCAAATCTCAATTTGTACTCAAGTGGTGCACGGAGAGTGGCAAAGTGTTGGACAAATTAGATGTGCAGCCTCATCGCGATGAACCCGAAACGGGCAAGAAGCGAAGATCGCATGTGACTTCCATTTGCCTGTCCACGGATATGAAATATCTAGCCTTGGCTGAGGGTGGTGCACACATACAGATCTGGTGTCCACAGACGATGCGGCATTTGAAGACGTTCAAGGGACACAGGGACAGCGTGACGGGTTTAGTCTTTCGCAAGGCGACCCACGAGCTGTATTCGGCGGCCAAGGATCGTTCCGTAAAGATTTGGTCACTGGATGAGATGGCCTACGTGGAGAGCTTGTAAGTGTGGCTGACTTACTACTACTAAGTCAATCCCTTACTTATTACTTCTCTAATTAAATATAAATTCGTTATTCATTCAGTATATAAATCCTTTTGTAGATTTGGCCACCAGACCGCTGTGACCAGCATTGATGCACTGAGTCGGGAACGGGCCATTTCCGCTGGCGGTTCAGATTGCTCGCTACGCATCTGGAAGATTACGGAGGAGTCGCAGTTGATTTATAATGGTCATCGCGATGGCATCGAATGCGTTAAATTGATTAATGATGAACATTTCGTCTCTGGCGGCGTTGATGGGTAACTTTTTTGGGAATTTTCAAATTTGAGCAACCTCAAATTTTATCCTTATTCTAAATTTGCAGTGCGATTAGCCTGTGGAGTGCATTGAAGAAGAAGCCCATCTGCACGGCACAATTGGCGCATGGCAAAGGCGAAAATGAGGTCGCCAACTGGATAACAGCAATTGCCGTCGTTGTCAATACGGATTTGGTGGCAACAGGTGCGATTTAAACACGTCGATCAATTTATTAAATCAAATTTTAACTTCTCTGTGTTTTTAGGCTCCTGCGATGGCTGCGTGCGTCTGTGGCAAAGTAATCCGAATGCGCGAAAGCTGCAAGAGATTCAAAGCATATCCATTGCGGGCTTTATAAATGGACTAACTTTTAATGGCGATGGCACAAAACTGTTTGTCGCCGTAGGGCAGGAGCATCGTTTGGGGCGTTGGTGGCGGCACAAAGAGGCCAAAAATAGCATAGTTGTAATTGACATTAAGTTACAAAACACAGCCAGCAATTAAGTTAATTATAAGCTTAAGGAATGCGTCGCATAATCTGAATAAAACATGTAAAATTTCAAAAATCAATCGATAAGGCGCAGAATGACATCGATATCAACAAAATATCGCCGCATCAATGCTTTCGATCAGTACAAGAGTGGCGGCTCGTCGATTTGCTGTGATTACAAAACAGGCAAAAGCATGCAGAAGAAAGCCGGCGCTGGCCTTTTGGGCTTTTTTAAAACAGAAAAAGGACGCAAACTGGTCTTCTATGCGGCGGGCACAACAACAGCGGGTCTGTTTGTGGCCAATTTTCTGCCGCACACATTTGGCCTGAAGTATTATCGCGATTTTGTACAATGTTATCAGTGGGTAAGCAAATTAAAGGAGCATGAGCTAAAGTTTAATTGAGTTTTTTCTGTCAGAAATGGCATTGAGCGGGAAGTGCCACCAGCTGTGCAGCAGCGTGTGCAACTGGCAATGGAAAGACTGGAAGTTGATCAGCGCGAGCGGAAATTCATTAAGCCATTTACCGTGTTTGGCTTTGATCTGTTCCAAGCGGGCACCACAAAGTTTCGTTTTGGTGCCGCTTTGGGTATTCCCGTAAACTATGCCTATGGCAGCATTGATGAGATTAAGCGAGCAGATATTCGATTTCGCGATAGGCAAGTCGATTGGAAGGCGGACAGCGGCAAACTGCTGGAAAATGCAATTGTCCTAACGGAGGATGAACAGCTGTTTGGGCTGAGCAAGGCAATTCTACAGCTGCAAACGCATCGCGTCCTGATGAACTCGATCTTTCCCAGCGTTAGCTTTTTCATGGTCTACACAATTGGACACTATCTGAATCTGCGGCTCGATCTCTTCGCGCGACATGGCAGCGTAAGCTAATATCGTATATATAGAATTCTACTTTACCTTTCATTAATTTCCAGATGCGCTTCGTTCTGTACAGCATTTTGGGCTTGTTTGGCTTGGGCAGCTGGTCCTTCATGAAGGACTTCAATCAGGTTGCAACCGATGCGGAGATTGATAAGCGTCTTGCCACGCTAGGCCCGCAATTTGTCGCCGCCGGCGTCAGCTACTACGACAAGCATTTGAAGAAGAATATTGCCCTGCGGAATCTAATTGGAGATAATACCTATACCGCCCTGGGCAATGAAAACTACATGCTGCGCCAAAAGTCCATGCCGCTGACAGCGCGCAAATCCTTCTTTGAGGAGAAGTGGAAGGAACTGCAGGATGCACAGCAGGCGCAGCAATCGGCGGAGGCACAATAAATATATATAATTAATGAGTTCATATTTGTTTAAATTTGCTAAAAACGTCTGTTGGATAAGTTTATGCGATTCCTATTAAAAATATGTTTTAAATTTTTAATGAGCTTTATTTTATTATTATATGGATTTCCACGAATTATCTGAATAATGGTGATTTTTAACATTTTACATTTTTCAAATTTATTTTTGTTGCAATTATGTTCAAATTTGAGGAATTTCTGTCCGATTTTTCAGGAACTTGCAAAAAAAGAAAATCAAATAATTTGTTTTTATTTTATTTATTATTATATTATATTTATATGTATCTAAAATATACTTAAAACAAAGGCCAAAATTGACTAGCATCATGGGGCATGGGAGAGTTACAATGTTCTTTGGAATTTCACACATAAATTAAGTCTAAATAACAATTAAGATATTATAAATGTATAATAAAAATGCGTTCCATTTTTGGAATGTTGTAATTAAATCAAGTCTAAAGTAAGCAATTAAAATAATATTAAAGGTATTTAAAATGTCTCTTCGCCAACGACATCACTGATGGTGGCCACGAGGCGTCTGGCATGCTCCACGGCACAGGTAGCTGTGACCAGGCCCAAATGGATGCAATACAATTCATAGACTCGGACTTTGCCCGGCGACAGTTTGGGAAAACAGAGCTCGACAAGATCGCTATAATAGTCCATGGGCAAGGCGCCCGGTTCTGCGGGCGATTTCTGTCCATTGCCGCTGGCGCTGCCAAAGCCCGTGGAGAGAAAATGCTGCTGCAAATCCAGCGAGCATTTCAAAATGCCACCCGAAAGATCCTCGAACCAGAGGAAATACGAGTAGTGGAAAGTGCGATCCTTCCACATGACCGTTGTCTGTCCCTTCTTCAGATAGCTGCGCGTAAACTCAACCATCTGCCACAGCTTCGTTTTGGGCAACAGCTGTGGATTATTCTGGCGTAAGTCCGGCGCCAGCATTTGACCCGTGCTCCGATTGACATACATGAAATGCACCAAGCCGGGGAAATCCTCCAGATACGCATCAATCGAGATGTTGCGTGCCGCTTTAACAGCGAGAAATTCCGCAAATTCCAACAGCTTGGCTTCGACTATTGCCGCCGAGTCGGCAAGTTGATCCAGCTGAGGATTACTGGCGCTATCGCAGGTGGCGAGCGAGAGGGTGAACAATTGCTTCAGTTCCTCGACAAAGGCGGGCAAATTGGACTCGATGCGAACGAGCAGTTCCCGCTCGTAGCTCTTGAAGAACTCCAAGTACATCTTGCGCAGATTCTCCCAGCGAGCCGTAAACTTTTTGATGCAGTTCTCCAGATCATCATGTCGTTGCTTCAGGTGCCTCTTCAGCGCCGTCAGCGTTTGACTCACAAAGGATTCGAGACTCTCAAAGGCGGGCTTGAGGGCATCCGCATCGCCCTGTTGCTGCACGGCGACAATCTTCTGCAGCACAAAGAATGTATCATAAATGGAACTGGTCAACGGCATATGACCATATTCGATGAGCTGCAGCAGCACCTGATGGCCATGCAGACGCGAAATGTGCACAATGCTGGGCACACAACCCGAATTCACATCGTGGGAGACGCCTTGCAGGAAGACGGCCACAGCTCGTTGGGATTTCTGTGCCTGTACAGCTCTGGCGAGTATGGCCAGAAAGAGTAGATCCGCTGGCGCCAGCGGCAACGCCAAACGGGTGCTATTCAATGCCACCAGCTTGTGGGAGACGAGCAGCAGAGCATGTGCCCGCTGCTGACCACCAGCTTGACGCAGCTGCTCCAGTGATGCATCAAGTGTCACGTGCACAGTGCGCTTCAGTTCCGCATTGATGATCAGCTTGGGTAATGCCTCCAGCAGATAGGCCTGCTCCTCCTTGCACAGCTGTGTCTCGTAGCAGTTGAGGCACTCCGTCAACAGCTCCTGTTGCATCGCCCCCGCCTGCGATCCAAACAAATTGGCGCCATAGCAATAGCGGGTCAGTGTTATGGCCACGCCCAGTTGTCGCTGCAGTTGCTCAATCCCAAGTTGGCCAATCTTCAAGAACGTGAAGCCCAACAGCTCGCCAAAGACCAAATTGAAGCCCTGCTCACACTGGAAACTCGCATAAGCATTGTCAAATTGGCAATGCATAATTCTCTGCGAACTGATTATCGGACTGAAGATTTGCAGCAGTACATTGCTGTCGAGTGCTGATCCACTGCCCTCTGGCATTAGGCGCTGTGTGATGGCTATATGGCATATCTTATCGGTTAGATCGGCATTCAGATTCTGATAGGCGACATCGTTGGCGCTATTGAATACAATTAAACCATTCATTTTTCTCTGATCAGAATTGGGACACACACAATTCACAAGCTTTGTCTTCGGTGGTTTATAGTGACTCCGGGCCCTTTCGACATTAATAATAATTTCGTTGGCTAATTGAAACAGATTAGCCTCGGTATTCTTAGGTAAGACTTATGCTCATTAAATGTAATTTGTTTAAGCCAGAAAAAGTGTTTATTGACTGTTATCTTTGAGCTGTTACAGTTCAGTGTTAACCCACTCTCGTTGTTATCGTTCTTATTAGGTTTCGATAAGTATGCATATCAACAGTGCTGCTTAGCCTGGAATTTAATATGAAGGGCTGCCAGCTGGTTCATTAAAAATATATCTAATAGTTGACAAGGAAAGCATCCTAATTAGTAGAAAGCTTATATATAATAATGAAAAAGCTTATATTTAATATTAGCAACTTTATTATTACATATCAGCTTCGGCTCCAGCTTATGTCCCCCATTACATATGTAAAGGAACTAGAGCTGCAAGCGAACTAGTTCCGAAGTGAACACTTGACCATCAGCTGTTTTCTGTTAAATACTGCGCACACATGCAGTGTTATCAAAAGCAGACAAAAAATATATAAGAATATAAATCAAGTTTCACAATGGGCCGCCTTATACTCGAGCACACATTGCAGGGACACAAGGGACGGATTTGGGGCGTCGCCTGGCATCCGAAGGGCAACAGTTTCGCCTCCTGCGGCGAGGACAAAGCCATCCGCATCTGGTCGCAGTCTGGCAACACTTGGACCACCAAGACAATATTATCCGATGGACACAAGCGGACAATTCGCGAGGTACGCTGGTCGCCGTGCGGTGAATACCTGGCCTCGGCCAGTTTCGATGCTACCACAGCCATTTGGTCGAAGCACGAATGCAACGCCACGCTCGAGGGCCATGAGAACGAGGTGAAGAGCGTTAGTTGGTCACAAAGTGGTGGCTTATTGGCCACCTGCTCACGTGATAAATCCGTTTGGATCTGGGAGGTTGCCGGCGATGACGAATTCGAATGCGCTGCTGTACTTAACGCCCACACGCAGGATGTGAAACGGGTCGTTTGGCATCCCAGCAAGGAGATCCTGGCCTCTGCCTCGTATGACAACACGATCAAGATGTATGCGGAGAGTGCATTAGACAGCGATTGGGATTGCACGGCAACCTTGAGTTCGCATACTTCAACCGTTTGGAGCATTGATTTCGAGGCGGATGGCGAACGCTTAGTCTCCTGCAGCGATGATACCACACTGAAGATTTGGCGTGCCTATCATCCGGGCAATGAGGCTGGCATCGCCACACCCGACAAGACCACAGTGTGGAAATGTGTGTGCACCGTGGCAGGTCAGCATTCGCGTGCCGTGTACGATGTGTCGTGGTGCAAGTTGACGGGTCTGATTGCCAGCGCTTGTGGCGATGATGGCATACGCATCTTTAAGGAGAGCAGCGATTCCAAGCGCGATGAGCCCACCTTTGAGCTGCTGACGGCCGAGGAGAGCGCCCACGAGCAAGATGTAAATGCGGTCGAATGGAATCCGGTGACAGCCGGTCAGCTTATCTCCTGCAGCGACGATGGCACCATCAAGATATGGAAACTGCAGGAGTAGTTACATGTTGTTTTTTATATACATCTATATATTTAAGTGATCGCTGAAGGAATCAGCTTTCTTTATCAATTTCCACTTGTAATAAATAACTGTTGCACACAGCATACACCGCCTATTTGCTGAGAAACGGCTCGTGCAGCGTTTTGTACAGCTTTTTGGCTTTGCGTGGACCCAAGCCCATCACTTGGGCAAGCCGCTCTTCGCTGGCATTGATCAGATTCTCCAGATTACCAAAGATTTGCAGCAGTGTCACTGCATCCGTTTTATTCACTGGCTTAATGTTCGTTAAGGCAGCTACAAGCTGTGGAGAAAGGTTGATATAAAGAATAGATGGATGCATATCTACAAAAAAATACCTACCTTTTGATGTGGATTAGATTCGACACGTTCCATAATCAAGTCTGGTGGACGCTTCTCGAACTGTTTGTATGTTTCGATTATTTTACCCGCTTCTTCGGCGTTCCAGGCGAGCATCATAGTTAGATCCGCTAGCAGCGAAATGCGTGTTAAGCTTTTGAGAGCATTGTGTGGTTCCGGTGTGTCTACCTGGACCAACAGGACACGCAACTCATACAACTTGCCCAGCGCTTTGAGTCTTTGGCAAATGTAATCCGGATTCAAATTGTGATATTTGAGAGATAGAAACAGAATGCAGGAAGTGCGACCCACTACATAGTCGGGTATGATATCATCACGAAACTCCAGGGGCACATTGAGAATAGATTTGAGAATGGGATTGCCTCGCTGCTTGCTGTGCACCAAAACACTGTACGGATTTGAAGGCGGCTTGGCTGCAACGGAGGTGCTGCTGCTGCTGTTGCTTCCACTTTCACTTGTAGATGATGTTGACGTCTGTATTTTGGCTTGCTTTGGAGCCGAGGGCATTTCCATGGCAGCCAAGACATCATCAAACGAATCGTCGTTGAGATCATCCATGTTTGCAGCCCGGTACAAATAACAAATTTCTTGAAATTCCAAATATCGATCAATATAATCGATAATATCGATACTCACGACTTGTTACAGTGTGGCAACTCTGTGATTGTTTTGCCCTTTCCTTTCGAGTTGTCAATTGAGCGAAGACGACGACAACGACGTGTGCGTGAAAAATTGTTTATTCTCTGCGATTAAATAAGTGATTAATCATACAATATAAGCATGGCATCGCATCCGGTGTTTATAGACCTGTCGCTAGATGAACAGGTAAATTTGCATAAATGCTTTTACGAGCCGTCTCCGATGCACTCCTTCGAAGAGAGTGAGGTTATGTGTTCAATCAGAGACTAAAAACAAATTTGTAAATAGAATATAAAAATGTGTATTAAATTGATGTTATTTCGCACAGGTGCAAGAGCTGCGCAAGTTTTTCAAGAAGCTTGGCGCCGAAATCTCATCGGAGAAATCGAACAAAGGCGTCGAAGATGATTTGCACAAAATAATTGGCGTCTGTGAAGTTTGCTTCAAAGACGGGGAACCAGCGCAAATTGATGGAATATTGAACAGCATCGTCTCCATAATGATAACGGTGAGTATAATGGATTATAATCATTTAATAGATAACAATATGTGCTTGTTTAGATACCACTGGATCGTGGCGAGAACATTGTGCTGGCCTACTGCGAAAAGATGACGAAGGCGCCAAATCAGCCGCTGGCCAAAGTGTGCCTGCAATCGTTGTGGCGTCTGTTCAACAATTTGGACACTGCATCCCCGTTGCGCTACCATGTCTACTATCATCTGGTGCAGGTGGCCAAACAATGCGATCAAGTCCTCGAAGTCTTCACTGGGGTCGATCAACTAAAATCGCAATTCGCCAACTGCCCGCCATCCAGTGAGCAAATGCAGAAATTGTATCGTCTGCTCCATGACGTAACCAAGGACACCAATTTGGAGCTGTCGTCCAAGGTGATGATCGAACTGTTGGGCACCTATACAGCGGATAATGCGTGCGTTGCGCGTGAGGATGCAATGAAGTGCATTGTCACCGCTCTTGCCGATCCCAATACATTCCTGCTCGATCCGTTGCTATCGCTGAAGCCAGTCCGGTTTCTCGAGGGCGATCTAATACACGATCTGTTGTCGATCTTTGTGTCGGACAAATTGCCGTCGTATGTGCAGTTCTATGAGGATCACAAGGAGTTCGTCAACTCGCAGGGTCTGAATCACGACCAGAACATGAAGAAGATGCGTCTGCTCACTTTCATGCAACTGGCCGAAAGCTATCCCGAAATGTCATTCGACACCTTGACTAAAGAGCTGCAAATCAACGACGATGAAGTTGAGCCCTTTGTCATCGAAGTGCTCAAAACTAAGTTGGTGCGTGCCCGCCTGGACCAGGCCAATCGCAAGGTGCACATCTCTTCGACTATGCATCGCACCTTTGGTGCACCCCAGTGGGAGCAGCTGCGCGATCTGCTGCAGGCCTGGAAAGAGAACCTCAGCTCTGTCCGTGAGGGCTTAACGAATGTTTCATCTGCACAACTCGATCTGGCACGCACCCAAAAGCTGATACATTGAAATCCATAATATTACAACTATAACAACAGCAGAAACAACTACAACTACAACAAGTGACGTCAAGAACAAACATAATAAAACAGCACCGTATAAGGGTTTACTAAATATTATAAATTATTGTCGAGGAAATGCGTGAAATATCAAACTTGAATAAATTTCTAAGTAAAGTCAAGTCAAACATATGTTTTAATAGAAACTCGGTCAAGAAAGAGGAGATGCCCTTTTATATAGTAGTATAAATGTTACCACTACTACTGTGTTATGAATAGTAGCAGAGTTTTACATGTTCATTTTTGAATACCAATCCATAGAGCTCCTTCTTACGAATCGAAAAAGCGATCCGATTTTTTCAACCAAGATATGCCAAATTAGTCGTAAAAGTTTCGCAGCCATTTTTCACATGTTGAGAATATAGTTATATATATATTTTTTTTTGTTTACATAACCTGTTTATGGATATGTCCATATAATAAGTTAAGTTATCTAAGATTGTTGGTTTGTTTCTTGTTAAATGCAGGTAAATACTTTCTAGCTTAAAACTAAAGGCTATGTTTTTAAAGTAGATTGATAATTTAGGCATGCTCGTCATGCTGTCATAAATATGCATCCCACTTGGGAATTGTCAGAGATTCTGATGGCTTTATAGCTCCTCATGCGCCTTTGCCTGCTGGCGTTCCTTCTCCCTGGGGAAGGACCAGAAATACGACGGAAATCCGTGTGAATCCCGTTCGCGTTTCACAAACGCCGTATACGATGAAATGCAATTGCCAATGAAGTGATTCGACTGTCCCAAAATGGCCAAATCCAAGTAGGGATCATCTTCGGGCAGCTTGTGCACACTTATGTCCATGCGACTTAAGGCTGAGCTCAATTCGCCAATCATATGATTGGCATCGGATGCCACAAAAACGGACTTCACCTCGTTTGTCGGCTGTGTCTGCCGCACATTTTTGATGGTGCGCTTTAGCTGGCGCACAATTGCCTCCTTGGTGGGCATACAGAGCTCATGGTAGAGCTCACCTCGCTCATTCTTATATCCCAGACACTGGGGCGATGCGAACAACTGCTGACTGTCCTTGATGTGCTCACAGGCACGCACCCAATCGATGCCATTGCGCAAATGTAAGCCAACGAATGCCCCACGCGGCAACACATTGCGTATGAATTCTCGAGCGGATTCCCTATACTTCCTGCTCCATTTCAAGTACTTTTGCAGGCTACGATTCTCGTGCTGCACGGGGAAACTTGCTGGCGCACCCGTAAATGCCAACACGGGCCATTTATCAGCGGGATAATTGTTTTGCCACTTGGATGCAATGGCACTGTGATGCACATCAAAGTGCAATGGACCATAGAACTCAGAGGCGACGAAATCAATGCTGTACGTATCCCAGAACGGACCAAACGGATTCCCGTCCTTGGCATGGCAATTGGGCGCCGCTGGATCGTTCTTCTCCTGCTGCAAACTCTTCCGCTCCATGTAGCAGAAGGAGACACGCTCCGCCGTCGGCCACAACTCTGCCGCAAGCTGCGTCATGAAATCGGACATGAGAATGACGCGATGATAGTCCTGCAGTGGCTCCACTTCAAAGTACGTGTCGAACGGCACCTGGCGCGACCGCATCTCCCCCTTGCGATACTCCACCCATGGCGGCAGTATAAGTGTCCGATTCAGTGCCTTTGCAAAGGCCAAAGAGCCAAGAAAATGATCCGCCTGGTTACCAAAGCGTCCTGAAAAAAACAAACAAACAATTAATAGACTATTTAACAATACAATGCTAGTTAAACAATTATTACTCACCCATACAGGGACAGTAGGCAATGTAGCCATTCTCATCACGCTCAATTTGGGCAGCTGTTTTTAATATTAACAAGGAAATTAAATAAATAAATAATTGAAGCCACTGCATTCTGCCGGCTTCGTTTCTAAGCCGTTGTCAATCGACATTTTGTTACCGTCACGTTACCACCTGGCTTGTGGTGAAAACTCTGGCAGCCTTGTGCGCGCGCAACTTGACAATCTACAATTTCTAAAAATCCAGTGAATTTATGAAAAATATAAGAAAAGCGTTTATTAAAATTAAATTAAATTAAAATTACTAATTTAAACATTTGCCTTCGACCTGATAATCGTTATCGATTGTGTGACCAAAAAACAAACAGTGTGGCAACCTCATGCAGCTTACCTGACAGTTGTTTTTATTCGCTTATTTACGTTTTTTTTTATCTATTTCATAATTACTGTGTGTGTGCTCATTGATTAATGCTCTAAGAGATAAGATCTTATGCCGACGAGAAGACAATCAGACAAATGACTTCACAGATCTACAGTCAAAAGAAATTCATACCGACGGCACCAGAGAAGGGTAGCTTTCCATTAGATCACGAGAGCTTGTGCAAGAAACACTTTATAATCTATGCGAGCTGCTTGCGCCGCAACGAGAACGACAACGCCAAGTGCCGCCGGGAGGCACAAGAGTATCTAGGCTGCCGCATGGAAAACAATCTTATGGAGAAAACAGAATGGTCGAAACTGGGCTTTCCGGAGCAGTCGAAGCAACCGAAGCAGCAGCAGGAGCAACAATAGCAACAATGAGACAAGAACGCAATATTCTCATTGCGGCCACAGGCAGCGTGGCCACCATCAAGTTGCTGCAATTAATAGATGAATTGAGCAACGATAAGCTGCCCTACAAATTTAGCGTAAGTAGCGCTAACATTTCATTCAACAAACATATAACAATTAGCATATATAAACACAGGTTAAGGTCATTATTACGGAACATGCGAAGCATTTTGTGGAGCTGGAACAGATGCCGGAACACGTCTCCGTTTTGCATAATCGTGATGAGTGGCTGACGTGGAATAAGCGCGGTGATCCCGTGCTCCACATTGAGCTCGGCAAGTGGGCCGACATGCTCTTAATTGCGCCACTCAGCGCCAACTCTTTAGCCAAAATAGCAACGGTAAAGTCACACTTATCTCGACAAACATTGATAAATCATACTTGTTTAAGTAAAATAAATTATGTTTATCACTTGCAGGGCATCTGCGACAATCTGGTGTTGTGTGTGGTGCGCGCCTGGGATTTGGATAAGCCGCTGCTATTTGCACCCGCGATGAATACACGCATGTACGATCATCCCATCACTCGGGAGCATATCGAGAAGCTGCTCAGTTGGGGCTACCGGCAGATACCCTGCATTTCGAAAACGCTGATGTGCGGCGACAAGGGCAACGGTGCCATGGCCGAGGTGCATACAATTGTGGCAACAGTTGTCGCCACCTTTTACCAGTTGCCATTGTAACTGATAATTATATATTCTGTATAAATGCTTTTGTTAAATAAATGGTATGGGCAAGTTTAGAAGACTCTGCAGCAAAATAATTCTATTTTGGGTTTCTCAATTTATTTGTAATAATGTTTATTGGTTAATTTTGAGTGCATCTAGGAGAGCAAAATGATTTTCGTTTTCCTCTTTTTTTCATATTTGTTTTTTTTTTCTTTTTTGTTTTGAATTTTGTTCCTCATCGCATTATCATTATTATTTTTTAATTGCATTTGAGTTTTAAATTTACACTTGTGTATCTCTTTTTGCAGTGTATAATTGTGGGCGTGTGTGTGTGTGTTTTATCAACAGTTTTATGCATTTAAATCATTTTTTTTATATGCGAATTACAATTACATTTATATATATTATGTGTTTGTGTTGGGTGTATGAAGGATGAATGATAAACTTAGAATTAGGGGAAATAAAAAGCTTAGTTTGTAAATTACACAGTAAAATATATTATGTATATGTATGCATGTATGTATGTACTGTAGAGTCGTATGTATGTATTATAAATGTATTTTGCTTATTTATCATCATTAAAAACGAACCAACTGAATTATCATCACGCACATTCTGCTGCTGCTGCTGCTGACACAAAATTATAAAAATATAGTCTTCAGGCATACATTGTTTTAAAGTGTCTCGATTCTAGCTTATCTATATATGTATCTATATATATATTTATTTATACTTTTTTCCTTTTATAAATTACAAGTAATATTAAACGTAAATATATTTACATAGCTTTTCTGGTTGCTTTTTTTTGTTGTTTTGTTGTTATTGGTTTTGCTGCTTTTGCCGCTGCCTTTTCTTGATTTTCTTGTTTGTTATTTGTTTAAATTACATTGAGTGTATTTTTAATATGTTCATATCGATTTGTTTTTAATGTGCCCTTGCGATACCCTCTATTTATTTTGGGGATATGCAGCAAGAAGCACAAAATACACAACACTTGCTTGCATATTATTTATATTAAGCTTAGATCCCGCCCCGCCCCCAAAAACTGTTTAATATAGTTTTTTCGTTTCATTTCGTTTCGTTTCTTAGTTATGCTTTATACAAATGGTGTGTTTGTAATGTGTGTATGTGTTTTTGTGTAGACTTTACAATGTGTGTGTAGACTTTCCTTGCGAATGACATTTAATGTACATATACATGATGGCTTGCCTTCTAGCAGTGTGTGGATGTATGTGTGTGTGTGCGCACAAGCCTCTGCACTAAACGGTTTCCTTCTAACTCTGACACGTGATTTGTAGAAAGTAGAAAAGTAACGATAACGGGAAATCAACATCGATTCACAAGTTGCCTTGGGACACGCACGCTAAACAATACATAATAATTATATATGTATGTATGCTATATAAGTCATTGCATCTAAATAGGGATAAACTCTATATATATGTAATATATATATATATATAACTATAATACGTTTTCAAGTTGCAACGGCGCACCGCTTATCTCTCATCTGATCACACACGAAACGCACAGCTTCGACGCACTGATGCAATCGTCATGGCAGAAGGCGCCGCACTGCTGGCAAATCACCATTGCGTTCAAGGCACAGGCGCAGCTGTTGTTTGTTGCCTCGTTGTTGCCGGGCGGCGTATTCTCTCCACTTTGTTGCTGCAATTGCAGTAGAGCATGTTGCTGATGCTGCTGCTGTGTTGCTGCTTGTTGCTGATTGGCTGCACCGCCACCTGCTGCTGCTGTTGTTGTTGCTGCTGCTGTCGTCGTCACTATGTAATTGTTGCTGGCATCGATCAGTGTTGCCGAGCTGCTGTTGTTGTTGTTGCTGCTGCTGCCGTCAATGTAGGTGATATTGGTGCCTATTTGAGAGTTGAGCAACATTGTTAGTATTCCATTTTAAATACGTTTTTCCTTATATATTTAAATAAATTAAGTGCAATTATATATGTTAAAGTAATATAAATATATACTTAAATACTCATGTGGCATTCACAATTGCGGCTGTTAAGAGCTGTTTTATTTTGTGAAAAGAGAAACGAGTTTGTGCTCTTGTCTACAAAAGTAAAACCTTATTTAAAATATGTGCAAAAAAAAAAATTTTAAATTAGGGTGCATAGATCAATTAAATATATATTATATGCATATATACATTTTATAATCTTTTGTTTTTGAAAACTATAATTTATAAATGCATTATTAACAAAAAAATATATATGTACACATGATATTAAAATCATTGACTTATTAAAATATCACTATAAGAATTAAGAATTATTCTCGAATTGGGAACAGTTGTAAAATTTGTAGTATTAATATTAAAATTAATATAATATTAATATACGTATATAAAGTATTCCTTCCTTATACATAAGAACATATTTGTAATTTTTAAATCTCTCTTTTTTCGCAGCTCCTAAACAGCTCCCAAAAATGTGAATGCTTTCCAACAAAGAAAATAAAACATGCAATCGCTTTTTACATACTCGAACAATACGCAAAGGGTTACGTGGAAATGAAAAGGTGTCAACGGTTTTGTTTTGGTTTTGGTTTTGCCAACTAGGTAAATCTAAATAAATCTAATGTGATGTGAGATAATTAATAGTGAGATGATTGCGTGCCAATTTGTAGTATGAAATGTGAATGAATTTGTGGGCGGTGGATTTGAAAGACGTACCTCGCTAAGCACACTAATAAAACACCAATTTACCTGCAGCAATATTGCGCCGCACAATATTCGCGGCCGCATTCACATTGCCCAGTTGTTGTTGCTGTTGTTGTTGCACCTGCTGCTGCTGTTGCTGCACCTGCTGAAAGTCATGATGATGATGCAGTGCATCATTTGTGGCACCATTGCCAGCGCTATTGTTGTTGTCCACAGAAGCCGGACGCCCGCGTCCGCCCATCGTAATGCCATTCAAGCCATGCAACGGATTCTGCACAGTGACAAACTATGCCAGTAAAAAGGGATTAATCAGTATGGAGTCAATGGATCACTTGGCTACTACTCACCTGATTCTGATGCAGTGGCGGCGCACTGGAAGCACGCGGCGCCTGATTGTCAGCGGCACCAACAGTGGCCCGATGCACCAGCACATATTGACCCGTTCCATTCTGATGGAGTAGCTGCTCCTGTTGCGCTGCTGCTGCCTGCCCCTGTTGCTGCTGTTGTTGCTGTTGCGTCACCTGCTGCTGCAGCTGCTGCTGTGGCGCGCCTCCACTTGACGCCACTCCCGGCGCCGCTGTCAACATGTGCCTTATCACGGTCGTCGGCGATGGCTTGCGCTGCACATACTTCTTGCGCGGAAAGCCCGTCATCCGTGGGCCAATCACCTACAAATTGAAATGCAGAAAGATTTAAATGGAGTTAAGCTAGGAAGTAGAGCTATGCTTAATGGGATAAAGAGCTTATCTTAGCTATAGCAAATTAGTGATATACTCTCAAATTGATATCTTTAATCCCCTATGCCTTATACACTCCCTGGCTCAGAACGATATCTCTTGATCTTAAAATTATACCCCCAATCAAAATAATATCTGTAATCCCCTATCCCATAGCTTATACACTCGTGTTCTTCTCAAATTTATATCTCTAATTCTTTATCCTTTGGCTTACACACTCCCAGTATCAAATTTATATCCCTACTCGTCAATCTTTACCTTGTACACTCCTGGTCTGCCCACGCCCATCACATTGGGCGGCATGCCGGCGGGCAGAACTGCTGGCGCAGCAGCCGCAGCAACAGCAGCTGCACCACTCACCAGCAGCTCCTCCTGTTTGAGCAGATTTTGTACGGGTGGTGGTGCAGCAGTAGCTGCAACTGTCACATTGCTGGCCACGGTGCTCAGGTTACTCAGTGGCGTGGCTGCCACCGTGGATACATTGAGTGTTGCATTGCTGTTACTGCTGCTGCTCACAGCGGTTGTTGCTGCTGTCGTCTGTTGCTGCTGATTGAGTATGGCCGCTGGGGGACGCAGTTGTGCCTTGAGGTTCTCACGATTCGGACTGTTCTGGATGACCGCCTGGCAGATTTGATAGCTGCGCTCCAAATTCACAGCACCTGGTGGCAAACGATTTGTGGTCGCCTTGCGTCCCTTCCCCGTTGGCATCTTTGGCTGCAATCGCTGTTGGGCAATCGTTGTTGGTATGCCCGATGGTGGCAATGTTTTCATTGTTAGCACATTGTTCACAGGCACAACGGGCAGCTGCAATGGTTGCTGTTGCAAATTGCTGTTGTGATTAGCTGTTGCCGACTGCTGCTGCTGCTGTTGTTGCTGTACAACCACATTGGCATAGGTGGACGGAATCTGTGGATTATTTACGGCTGCTGCAGCTGCTGCTGTTGCCACAACTGCTGCTGGTGTTGCTGCTGCTGCTGCTACTGTGTTGGGCGACGCATTTGCGGTTCTTGTCATGGAAATTATATTCAATGGCTTTGCTATGAATTTGGGCGGCTGCTGCTGTTGCTGCTGGTAGCTTTGCTGTTGTTGTTGCTGTAGTTGCTGCTGCTGCAGCAGATTGTTGTTGGCCGCCTGCGCGAGCAGTTGTCGCTGGTGCAGTTGCGCCTGCAGCGCATATTGCTGCTGTAATTGTTGTTGTTTCTGCTGCTGCTGTTCAAGTTGCTGCTGCTGTTGTTGCTGAGCCAGCAAATTGGGCGTTAGAAACTGCTGTGCACCATTGCTGTTGATCTCAAAGGGTTTGCGCAACGCAGCAACTGGCAGAGATTGATGTGTTTTCTGCAACGCATTGCTGCTGGTTGCCTGCTGCTGCTGTTGTTGCTGTTGTGCGGCTGCTTGCAGTGTAAACTGCTGCAATAGCTGCTGTTGTTGTTGCAGTTGCTGCTGCTGCTGACGTTGTTGCTGTTGCTGCTGCTGCTGTTGTTGCTGCAGCAAAAAGTTCCCAATAATCTGTCCATTTGAATCAACCAAAATTTGACGTTGCTGCTGCTGCTGCTGCTGAGGTGCTTGTGCAGGTGCAGCAGCAGCAACCGCTGCCGTTGTTGCTGGCTGGGTTAGCTGTTGATTGATGGTAATGTTGCTGCTGCTGCTGCTGCACAGGCTCAAATTGTTGCTGCTGTCATTGCTGTTGCTGCTGTTCGTGATGACAGTGCTGGAGACCTCCATTTCAGCAGCGGACATCGGCACAGCAGCATCGCACAGCAACTCGTGGGTAAGCTGTGGAGCAAAGCAGAGAGATTAGTTTATTATATATATTAGAAAAGATTGATATCAATGGACTCACCTCATTGGCAAAATCGCTGCTGTGCGCTTGTGGCATAAATGAATGCGGCGTCAATTGTACCACATCCTGCAGCTGCGCCTGCAACTGTTGTTGTTGCTGCTGCTGCTGCTGATGGTGATGCTGTTGTTGTTGCTGCTGCTGCTGTTGCTGCTGGTGATGTTGCTGCAGTTTGTCAACAATATCGCGCACTTCGTCGCTTTCGCTGTCATCCATGACATGATCGACCATTGCACTCATTACTTCGTCGTGATCAGGATCCTGTTCCTGATCCGCATCGATGCATTCGACAACCTCGTCAACGTCGACAACATCATCGTCCTCATCTTCTTCGTCGTCGGGCACATCGTTGTCATCGAGCAGCTGATGACACTCGACCATGTCATCGATGACCTCCTCGGCCTCATGCACCACATCCATTAGCTGGATAGCCTCATTGCTGGACGCTGCAGGAGCAGCAGCTGACATCAATTTAATGCCACCGAAATTCCAATCGTGTTGCACATGCTGAAACATTTCACTCGAATTCAACTCAACAGCGGGCGACAACTGTTGCTGTTGTTGTTGCTCCTGTTGCTGCTGCTGTTGTTGCTGGAGAGTTGCGACTGTGGTGAGCATTGCTTGCATATCGGCAAGTGTTGTTTCCGCTGCGCTAACCAATGCCGCACCTGCTCCTCCTCCGCCGCCGCCACCGCCTGCTCCTGCTGTCGTTGTGGTTGCTGCTGCCGTTGACGATGAGTTGCTGCTGGAACAGGACGACGACAGCGATGAGGATAACGAGGAGGAGGCACAACTGCTGCTCGATGCCAGCGAACTGGCTGGCGTCGTCGTAGCCAGCGATGAGGAGTTCGATGAGCAACTGCTGCTCGCCATTGCCGGCATTGTTGACATGGTCATCGTCATGCCACCAGAATCCTCCAGCTGCTGCTTATCACAATGATCGTTCAGTTTTATGATTGTCGCGGTTGCTATAATGCGTGCGACAAAGACATACAAGTTAGCAAATAGTTAGTTATTGGTTAAATGTTGATATATATTACAATTGGGCGATGAAGATGATGAGTAGTAGGCGTGGCTGATCGCTGCTTGATGATCGTGGAAGTAAGCTGCGTTTGAGCGAGAAATGAAAAAGCATTAGATGATGATTGAATTAAATCAAAATAGATATCCATATTTATGTATCGAAACTGAATACAGATACGAGTTTAACACATTTATTTCGTAATCCGAATATAACAAATAATTTTGAAATTTAGTTACAAACTATTACAAAATATACGAATGCAAATAGATAAATAAATTTGAATATACTAAGAATAAAAATAAATAAATTGTATTTTACTGTTAACAATAACAAACAGAAAATATGAATTGAAAATTATGAAATTAGTTTATATAAACACATAAGAAATTAGTGGCTAAAAACTATATGTATATCTATATATATTTAGAGCAGTAACAATTACAATAGAAGCAAAAAATATTATTTTATGTTGCTACAAGAAAATGCGCAAAATAAACTAGTTTTATGACTAAAATTAATTGCTTTAATGGGATGCTAAAAAAACCAATCAGACAGCTAATAATAAAAAGAGCTACAGAAATCCGAAATTATGCACAAGAAAACATTTAAGGAAATAAGAAAACATAGTTTAAATACACTTGTTAAACACAAAAGTATAATTAGCCACAACCGATTATATATATATATATATACAATTCTATTTTAGTTGGCATTCAAAATGGTCAAAATAAGCTTACCATGATCGATCGTATCGGCAAATACAAAGTCATGGCTAGATGTTGTCGTTGAAGCGCTTGTTGTTGCTGCCACATTAACCGTTGTTGCTTTGGTATCTGAACGGAAATAAATAAAACATTTCAAATATGTAGTTTACCAGATCATATAGTATATTACACACCTTCTACAAGCTCAACATCCTGCAGATAATCCACAAAATTGTCGACAGCAATTGTGACTGCTGTCGCAGGCATTTGTATTGGAGTTGTTGTTGGTGCTGTTGCTGCAGCCGCTGTTGTTATTGTGGTTAGTGTCTGTGGTGCATCAGGTGGCTCTAGTTTATCACAGGTACTGTTGATAAGTGGCTGCTGCTGCTGCTGGTTGTTGTTGTTTGTTAAAGCTTGTGTTGCTGTTGCTGCTCCTGCTGCTGCTGCTGTGGATGATGTTGTTGTCGTTGTCGCTGCAGCATGATCAACAACATCGGCTGCATTAGGAACAATCTCAGTTATTTCATGTTTTATTTCCTTGCTCTCCCGCGACGTTGTCGGCAACTCATCCGGCAGCAACACATTCTCATCGACATCATTGGCTACCAAATCGATTGTTTCGGGTTCGCTGCGTTTGCGTCGCGACGGACTGCTCGACGGACGTTTGAGGATGCGTCGCTGTTGCTCCGTTAAAGCGTTGCTGCTTATTGTAGCAGCTGCAGCAGTTGCTGTTGTTTTTCCTGTTGTTGTCGCATCCAAGTCCAAGCTGCTGGTTGTTGTTGTTGTTGTAGTGGCTGTCGTTTCGCACTTGGTGCTCTGCAAGTGTTTGAATTTTACATAAAGCGATTGCTTGACAATAAGTTTCTTATTTGTAAATTAACTCTAATTTTAAAATGAAATAAAAATTGAATAAATTGACTTATAAGTGGAATATTTAAATGCCTACCATATTAAATTTCAGTTCAGTCTCATTATCACATGTTGCTTGTTGTTGCTGTTGTTGTAGTTGCTGCTGCTGCTGTTGTTGTTGTGGTGGTGTTGCTGTTGTTGTTGTTGCTGCTGTTATTGTTGGTGGTGGAGGTGCTGCTGGTACTGGCCTCGTCGTCGGCTCCAGCTTGATCAGTTTGCTGGGTGGCGGGTTTGTTGTGAGCGGTTTACGCTTCGCATTCTTCTCGCCCCAATACGGCTCGAAATGCTTCAGCTTCCATGGATCGAGTTTGTTCTTTTCACGTTCCGCTTCCGTTTTCAGTTTGATTTGATTCTCGGGCGTGAATTCGCCTTCGCTGAGACGTTCTCGCCACTCCAGGCAGGCGCGTGCAAAAAACTCATTATTCAGGCAGGAAGCGCTCAGCCGAATGGCTTCTTGAGAGATGCTATTGCTGCCACTGCTTGTGCTCGGCTGCTGTTCGAGCTGCTGATCGACCAACAGCAATGTTGGCTGCTGCTGCTGCTGCACCACCAACTCGCTGGCCTCACGATCGACGCTCGGCAATAGCTGGATGAGATTGTGCTGATAGAGTGGCGGCAGCAGCGAGAACGTTTGCTTATTGAGCAACGCCCGCAGATTCGTTGAGGCCAATATCGAATCGGGCGTTTCCAAATCGATTTTGCCATCCTTTGTCTGTTCGATTTGGGCGGCAGTCGTTAGCTTCTTATTGCTGCGACGCCGTGGCTTCACGCTGAAGCCCGGTATCGAGGCCAGCACCTCGCGCATCATTGTCGTTTGGCTGGCGGCTTTTGTGGCGCCCGGCGAGCAGCCAGCACCAGCTCCAGCAGCGGTCGCAGAACCTGTGGCATTGGCAGCAGCTGCTGCTGCTGCCTCCGCTGCTGCTGCTGCTGCTGCTGCTTTCGCCTGCTGCTGCTGTTGTATGCGTCGACTGCTGATGCCGCGCACAACGGGCATTGCAGCAGCAGCAGGTGTGGGAGCGGCGGCGGAGGCAGTTGTGGGTGTTGGTAGCACGTGCAACGCTGGCGCTGGCGTCAGTGCAGCTGCTGCCGCGTTATGCAACGCATCGTCACTGGGCGTTGGTTTCTTCTCAGGTGGTATGGGTTTCATAATGATGCGTGGCAGGTGGCGCCTATTAACGAGAAGTAAATGTTAAGAAATAAATATAAATATTTGGAAATTATTAAATAACAAGTTTGTCGCTCGACAGTTAGAACTATTAAGCATAGCAACAAATAAGACTCACAAAAATGGGGCTATTAGAAAATATAACATTAGTTAATAGAATTTGAAAATAAAAGTGTTGCACATATCGAGCGACCACCGTACTGATTGATATATATATATATACAAGGACGTTTACCTCAGACTATGTGTGTGCTGCTTATTGGGTGACAGTTGCTGCTGTTGTTGTTGCTGCTGATGCTGATGGAGCTGCTGTAGCTCAATGGCCGCCGTTTGCTGTGCTGCGGCATCGAAGGCGAGCGGATCCTTTTCATCGTCATCGTCCACGAGATTCACATGCGCCGTTACCTCCATAATCACAGGTGTTATGTGTTGTTGCTGCTGTTGTTGCAGTTGTGGAATGGTGGGCAAATGTTGATGTTGCTGTTGCTGGTGGTGGTTGTGTAGCTGCTGCTGCTGCTGTTGCGGCGATGACGACGGCGCCACTGCTGATGTTGATGTATCCGGCGTTATGGTTTTCATATTGATTTATTAACTATTTACAACTATGCGCAGCGAATTTTCCAGTTGTTGTTCTCCTTGTTGTTGTTATTGTTCCTATTGTGTCCATGTCAGGCGTTGTTATTGTTCTTAATGTTGCGGCAGCAATTTAATTGTTTTTTGCGAACATACTGCAAGCACACACATGTAAAAAAACAGGAGTTATAAACAAGTTTAGAATTAGAGCGGCTGCAACTAACCTGGCCAGCAGCAGTTTTAGCCATCACAGGCACAGGCAACGGCAGCAGGTGTGGGTGGTGGGCCGGCAACGTAGCCAATTTTGTGGGGCGACCCTCGACTCTCTTTCTCTTCTTCTTCTTGTTGTTGTTATACAAGTTAACAGTTATTAGAGGAGTCGTCGTCGTTGTTGTTGTCGCCGTGTATGTGTGTCTTACCGTTACCCCTCTCTTAACCCTTACTCATAGCCCAGTCACAATATTACACACGCTAATTTTCAGTTTCAGTTCTCTTTGCCTTTCCTTTTCCGCCGTCAATTTCTGGCCTACAATAACAAACACAACAACAAAAAAAAAGAAGCAAAGTTGGTTGGTTTGTTGCTTTTGCCCCTGCAGGAATAATACATATGTATGCACATACACTCACACACATTCACACACATGCATACATATATAATTATAATGCGCACACACACACAGAGAAACAGGCGCACGCACGCACATATATATAAATATATGTATGTATGTGTGTAAAAAGGTTTTTGCGTGGTTTGTTATGGCTTTTATTAATTGCGCTGCACTTAAGTTAACGGTTAACGGCATGGCCCAGCACTTGCACTTGTTTATGGTTCGTCCTTATACACTACGAGTCGATAATAAAATATTGTATGAATGGTGTTTGCAAAGACACAAACAAAAGCAGAAGCAGAGAGCCACAAAATTTTGGATTCTTTTTCTGCTTCTTGCGTTGCATAGAGTTGACTCTGTCTGACGCAAGCGTTCACATATGCTTTGGCTGCACGCCAACGTCTATCTTTCTTGCGCGCACACGCGAGTTAGCTACGCAGCAAAAAAAAAAAGCTGCCAGTTAATTGAATGAAATTGTATTTACTTTGCACACTAAAAACTAAACACACACATAACGCGCACTTGCCGTATTACATTTTAATGTTTATTGGGGTTTTTATTTGATGGTTAAATTATAATTATTTGGGCTCCCAGTTTGAGAGCAATAGGGATGTTAAAAACTGCACTACACTAGAACTAGAGCTGCAAAACAATTGCCAGCATATATCGATATCAAAAGTCGAGAAAGAGAATGACCCATCGTGTTGATAAGCTATCGAATGGGCTGAAATACGATATGTTTTTGGAGCAGATACACTAAAATAGATATGCCTGTCTGTAATTAATATCAGTTAAACATTATGTCAATAGAAGTGAATATATATTTTTAATTGTTACAAAAACCTCTCGATATATTGCACAGTTGCCATCAATAGTTGCAACTATCGATAGTTTTGCAGCTCTGAGCCTCTGATATAAAAACAGATGTAAACAACGCCGGCAGCAGCTCTTGATTAGTGGGAAATGTTTTAATTTGTTGTTACTAATCATTGTACATAACTGCGGCAAAGATGTTCTCAATGTGCAAACAAACACACGCGGCCACCGCGATCGAATTCGCCATTTCGTGCCGCTTCTTTAACAATGTCGAGGAGAATTTGGTGGTCGCCGGCGCCAATGTGCTCAAAGTGTATCGCATTGCGCCCAACGTGGACGCAGTGCAGCGCCAAAAGCTCAATCCCAGCGAGATGCGTTTGGCGCCCAAAATGCGTCTCGAATGCCTGGCGAGCTATACTCTGTACGGCAACGTTATGTCGCTGCAGAGTGTCTCGCTGGCAGGCGCCATGCGAGATGCTCTCCTAATTAGTTTCAAGGATGCAAAGTTGTCGGTGCTGCAACTGGATGCGGATACACAAACGCTGAAAACGCTGTCGCTGCACTACTTCGAGGAGGATGATATACGTGGCGGGTGGACGGGTCGCTATCATGTGCCCGTGGTCAGAGTCGATCCGGATGCGAGATGTGCCATAATGTTGGTCTATGGCAAGCGTCTGGTTGTCCTGCCCTTTCGCAAGGACAACAGTTTGGATGAGATTGAGTTGGCCGATGTGAAGCCTATTAAGAAAGCGCCTACTGCTATGGTTACACGTACGCCCATCATGGCCTCCTATTTGATTGCGCTGGCCGATCTCGACGAGAAACTGGACAATGTGCTGGATATACAATTTCTGCATGGCTATTACGAGCCGACACTGCTCATACTCTACGAGCCCGTACGCACCTGTGCCGGTCGTATTAAGGTCAGGTCGGATACATGTGTCCTCGTTGCGATCTCCTTAAATATACAGCAGCGAGTGCATCCGATTATTTGGACAGTGAATAACTTGCCCTACGATTGCCTGCAAGTCTTTCCCATACAGAAACCGATCGGTGGATGTTTGGTGATGACAGTGAATGCTGTCATCTATTTGAATCAGAGTGTTCCTCCCTACGGCGTCAGTTTGAACAGCTCGGCGGATAATAGCACCGCCTTTCCGCTGAAGCCACAGGATAATGTGCGCATCAGTTTGGATTGTGCGAATTTCGCCTTCATCGATGTGGATAAGCTGGTGATATCGTTGCGCACTGGAGATCTCTATGTGCTCACGTTGTGTGTGGACTCGATGCGAACGGTGAGAAATTTCCATTTTCACAAGGCGGCGGCAAGTGTGCTCACCAGCTGCATCTGTGTCTGTCACACCGAGTACATCTTTCTTGGCTCTCGTTTGGGCAACTCGCTGTTGCTGCACTTCACCGAGGAGGATCAGAGCACAGTGATTACCCTGGATGATGTCGAGGCGACTGTCGAGCAACAAACCATTGAGCAATCACCCGAAGAATTGGCAGAGGAATCGCCCGTCTACGATGTGGAACAACATGAAGCGCCACCGCAATCGAAATCGCGTCGCATCGAAGATGAGGAACTCGAGGTGTATGGCTCGGGAGCGAAGGCATCTGTGCTGCAGCTGCGCAAGTTCATCTTTGAGGTCTGCGACAGTCTGATCAATGTGGCGCCCATTAATTACATGTGCGCTGGCGAACGCGTCGAGTTCGAGGAGGATGGCGCCACACTGCGTCCACATGCGGATAACCTGAACGATTTGAAGATTGAACTGGTCGCCGCCACGGGTCACAGTAAAAATGGCGCCTTATCCGTTTTTGTCAACTGCATTAATCCTCAGATCATCACAAGCTTTGAGTTGGAGGGTTGTCTGGATGTGTGGACAGTGTTTGATGATGCAACGAGAAAGGCAACGACTGCCAGACAGGATCAACATGATTTTATGCTGCTCTCGCAGAGATCTTCGACGCTGGTGCTGCAAACCGGGCAGGAGATCAATGAGATTGAGAATACGGGTTTTACGGTCAATCAACCTACGATCTATGTGGGCAATCTGGGCCAGCAGCGATTCATAGTGCAGGTAATGGGACAGGCTACTCCTCTCCAGCTGCTCATTCGTATATTTAACATATAAACATATATCTTCCCTAGGTAACCACTCGGCATGTGCGTCTGTTGCAGGGCACACGTCTCATCCAGAATGTGCCCATCGATGTAGGCTCGCCGGTGGTGCAGGTGTCCATTGCCGATCCCTACGTGTGTCTGCGTGTGCTCAATGGACAGGTCATCACGCTAGCGCTGCGCGAGACACGTGGCACACCCCGCCTGGCCATCAATAAGCATACGATTAGCAGTTCTCCGGCTGTTGTTGCGATTGCAGCGTATAAGGATCTGTCGGGTCTGTTCACCTGCAAGGCAGATGATGTGCTCAATTTGACGGGCAGTTCGGGTGCAGGATTTGCCAATAGTTTTGGCGGCTACATGAAGGCGGAACCCCATATGAAGGTGGAGGATGAGGAGGATTTGCTGTATGGCGATGCGGGCAGTGCTTTCAAGCTGAACAGCATGGCGGATCTGGCCAAGCAATCGAAGCAAAAGAATTCGGATTGGTGGCGCCGCCAACTCATTCAGGCCAAGCCCAGCTATTGGCTGGTGGTGGCTCGACAAAGTGGCACCCTAGAAATCTATTCCATGCCCGATATGAAGCTCGTATATTTGGTTAATGACATTGGCAATGGTGCTTTGGTTTTGAGTGATGCCATGGAATTTGTGCCCATATCGCTGACGCAGGAGAACTCCAAGGCGGGCATCTTACACGCCTGTATGCCACAGCACGCCAACTCTCCGCTCCCGTTGGAACTCTGTTTGGTTGGATTGGGTCAGCATGGCGAGCGACCGTTGCTGTTGGTGCGCACACGTCTCGAGCTGCTCATCTATCAGGTCTTTCGCTACGCCAAGGGTCATCTCAAGATACGTTTCCGCAAGTTGGAGCAACTGCATCTGCTGGAACAGCAGCCCACACACATTGAGCTCGATGGCGAAGATGTGGAGGAGGCAGAATCATACAATATGCAAGCGAAATATGTGCAAAAGTTGCGCTACTTTGCCAACGTGGGTGGTCTGGCTGGGATTATGGTGTGTGGCGTGAATCCCTGTTTTGTCTTCCTCACCTCGCGTGGCGAGTTGCGCATCCATCGACTGCTGGGCAATGGAGATGTGCGCAGCTTTGCCGCATTCAACAATGTGAATATACCGCATGGATTCCTCTACTTTGACACCACCTACGAGCTGAAGATCTCGGTGCTGCCCAGCTATCTGAGCTACGATGCGGCGTGGCCGGTGCGCAAGGTTCCCCTGCGATGCACACCCCGCCAGTTGGTCTATCATCGCGAGAATCGCGTCTATTGTCTGATCACCCAAAAGGAGGAGCCGATGACCAAATATTATCGCTTCAATGGCGAGGATAAGGAGCTGTCCGAGGAGTGTCGTGGCGAACGCTTCATTTATCCAATTGGTTCACTGTTCGAAATGGTGCTCATCAGTCCAGAGACATGGGAAATTGTCCCAGATGCCTCCATTCAATTCGAGCCTTGGGAACATGTCACAGCTTTTAAGATTGTGAAGCTTTCGTATGAAGGAACGCGATCTGGGTTGAAGGAGTACCTATGCATTGGCACCAATTTCAACTATAGCGAGGATATCACCAGTCGTGGCAACATTCACATCTATGACATCATTGAGGTCGTCCCGGAACCGGGCAAACCCATGACCAAATTCAAGCTCAAGGAGGTCTTCAAAAAGGAACAAAAGGGTCCAGTTTCGGCTATCTCCGATGTGGTTGGATTTCTGGTCACTGGCCTTGGCCAGAAGATCTACATTTGGCAGCTAAGGGATGGAGATCTCATCGGTGTCGCCTTCATCGATACGAACATCTATGTGCATCAGATTATAACCGTTAAATCCTTGATATTCATCGCCGATGTTTACAAGTCAATCAGTTTGCTGCGCTTCCAGGAGGAACATCGCACTTTGTCATTGGCTTCCCGGGATTTCAATCCCATGGAAGTGTTTGGCATTGAGTTCATGGTAGATAACTCCAATTTGGGCTTCCTTGTCACCGATGCCGAGCGCAATCTCATTGTCTACATGTATCAGCCGGAGGCGCGTGAATCGCTCGGCGGACAAAAGTTGCTGCGCAAAGCGGATTATCATTTGGGTCAGGTGGTGAACACCATGTTCCGTGTGCAGTGCCATCAGCGAGGTCTGCACCAGCGCCAGCCCTTCCTCTACGAGAACAAGCATCTGGTCATCTATGGCAGTTTGGATGGCGCTTTGGGCTACTGTCTGCCACTGCCGGAGAAGGTCTATCGGCGATTTCTCATGTTGCAGAATGTGCTGCTCTCGTATCAGGATCATTTGTGTGGCTTGAATCCCAAGGAGTATCGCACCATTAAGTCGGTCAAGAAACTGGGCATTAATCCGTCGCGTTGCATCATCGATGGTGATCTGATTTGGTCATTTCGCATGTTGGCCCACTCGGAGCGCAACGAGGTGGCTAAAAAGATTGGCACACGCACCGAGGAGATACTTGCCGATCTGCTCGAGATTGAGCGCATCTCGGCCGTCTTTTAAACCGTGTTCGATCTCGCTCGAGTGATGATTGTATATTGTTAACTTTAAGTCTTATTTCTATTTATGGTTAAGTTAAAACCTAACTTGGCTGCTCCAAAAGCATGGTGGCAACAAAGTATTTTGTTAAGTGAAGAACGTTTTTAGATTTTCAAAATATATATATATATAAACATAATTTGAAATATTAGAATGAAATCGAAAATGGTGTTTTAATTGATTATTCAAATTACATTTCCACTCTGATTGAATTAGCGACACAATTTGCAATTTGTTTTGTATTTGTTTGTTTATCGTAATTGTTTTTTTTTTGTGTTTTTTATATGTATGGTATCGATATATAATTAATTCATTGTATAAACTAACAACATCATCAGTTAATTAATTAATTAATTCAAAATGTGACAGCAGCCATCACTTTTCGTACCAAGTGAAAAAATATAATGAAAATACATATTTCAATCGAAGATCATCATCCGAAGAGAAACGAAAAACTTTTTGCACTTAGAAAATTAAACAGCAGAAATATATATATATAGATAAATATATATATATATATGCGTACTGAAATTACACTTTTTGTAGCTTAATTATTAAATGTGTGTGTGTGTTGGGTGTGTGTATCATTTGATGAAGGCGCTTCACAAGGTGTCCGTCCAATCGTCTCTCGTTGAGCAAACTAATTTAGTTTAGAATTAACAACAGGCTGAGTTTTGCTTTCCAAATGATTTGATGCAGAATATTTTAATATGTGTACGTAGTGGTGTTTGTTTTCCCATCGCATCCTTGACTCGTCCCTCCCCCTTCTCGCCATTTAGATCTGGGAGCGCAGGCGTGGGCGAGGCAAGTCCCCGAACACTGGCTCGCCATGCACACTCTTTGCCAATGCCTTGATGCTGGCCGCAATGTCCACAGTATTGTCCAGCACCTAAACATTAATTAATTATTAATTAACCTTTTATTATACATTATCATTATGTTGTACACTCACCTCCTCATCCTCGAGCACAGCCGGATGATGATGCTGATTGTTGTTGTTGTGGTTATGGTTGTTGTTGTTGCTGGCACGCTCGGCCAGCGGCGAGTTGGCAATCTCAACGGGCAGACTCCGAGCAAAATTAACCATAAATTGACCACGAGCTCCAGCCCCACCAGCAGTGGCGCCACCACGCATCGGTATGGGCAAAGAGCTGTCCAAATCGAGTGCGTCTATCGGAAGAAAAATATTAATTATTGGTTTACACAAGCAATTTAAATGTGTTGTTGATTAATTGGATATTCATTTAGATCGCACGCTTTATCAATCAACTAACCCTCTGCCTCATCGGCATCGCTCATGTTGTCCTGCTGCTGCTGCTGCTGTTGTTGCAAGTGCTGCTGCTGCAAGCGCTGATATTGCTGCTGCTGCTGCTGTTGTTGCTGCTGCTGCTGATAGAGGTGCATAGCCTGGCTGGGTGCATCCACATCCTCCAGATCGAAGAGACAATCATCGGCATCGTCTCCGCCAGCGGCAGCAGTTGTTGACAACAACAATGGATTGCTGCTGACAACAGTTGCTCCCTGCTGCTGCTGTTGCTGCTGCTGCCTGAAGGTGGGACTGTTGCCGACGCTCATCGGCGTGGCTTCTGGTGTGGCGGGCGGTGTATCAAAATTGGACATTTTGCGCGACGTCATCGTCGATGAATTAACGGCACTCGCCGGCAACTGTTGATGCTGTTGCTGTTGTGGTTGCTGTTGTTGCTCCATCATAAAACTGGGCGGCTGGATGAGTGGTGTGGTGGGCGTGGTCGGCGGTCGACTGCTCAACGTGTTGCGACGACGTGTTGCCGTCGTTAGTGCAACCACCTCGAGAGCAACGGGTAGGCCACGATCCAAGAGCTCACACGTCTGCTCCGGCACCTGCTGGATGAGACGGCTGAGGAGTGCCGCCTCCTGATCACACTTCTCCCGGAAACTCTTGAGCAGCGCAAACTTTTGCTCCGTATAGCGTTCGATGCGCTCAGTGGTCTCATTTATCTCCGCCTGGACGCGTGCATGTTGATAGGCCTGCAATTGACGCAATCTCTGCACCCGGCCATCGAGCGGACAACTGTTCTGGGACTGCAGCAGCGAGCCAATGCTCAGGTTCGATGTGGAGTTTAATATGCCAGCCGATGTTGGTGGCGTCGTTATCATCGCTGACACTGCTGATGATGATGTGGCCACATCATCGGCTGCTGCTGCATCGTCCATGATGAGCAGCTGAAAGATTTCCGAATAGGATTTGTGGCTACGACGCTGTTGAAGCTCCTCATCGGTGGACGACACCAGCAGCTGACTGTTGATGAGGTACTGGTTGCTTGGAGTGGGTAGTGTTGCTGTGCTGGGAGTCGTGGCGCCAGCGCCGCTAACATTTATTAAACGCTTGGCACACAGCACCATTTTGCAATTGATGCAAATGTAAAATTGCCAACTCTGATTTGGTTGATTGTGATGCGGCACAGCAGCCACGTCCAATGTGAGGCTATAAATTAAATCACGCTGACTTATGGCATTTACGGTTAGATCTGGAATGGGACCATTTGCCTGCGATCGAAAGAAACAGAGATAGAGATAATAATTAATATTTTAATCTCAATATAATATTATTACACAACACAACATAAGTTAACATAAAGTAACATAACATATGTTAACTTAACTTAACCTAACATAACATAAGTTAACATCACTTACCATAACATAACTTAACAGAACATACACAACATAACTTAACTTAACATAACAATCCCTAACATAACAGTAACAGTCTTTTGTATTTAGCATATAATCTGTTAATTTCAATTAATAACAGTAACAGTATACTTTTTAACATATAGCCTGTTAATTGCTTTAAAGTTAAACAAGCGAGAGTTAAGGCAACGAGAGAGAGAGAGTAGAATAGATATTAAATTAACATTTGCATAAAATGACCAAACTGTTTTCAAGAGAGTAGAATAGAGATACAAATTTACATTTGCACCAAATGAACGAACAGTTTTATAGCCATTTTGATTAGCTGCCAATTCAAGTTTCAATTAATGTTAAAATTTTATTGTTCTTCCTCTTCTGTTTAAAAATAACTCTTGCCGGTCAATGACTGATTAGGCAACAGTTTTGATAACGATAACAAATAGACAAGTCGCTTTGCCCCCAAATCGATAAAAAAAAAACAGAAGAAAAAGAAATGTTAAAATAACATGCAACAAATAGTAGGCGTTGCCACATGTCTATATTTAATCAACGCGCATATCGATTAAAATTGTGCAATAATTGCTGCATGATTATCGTGCTGAGTAATTGTATAATCTATAAACGGCTGGTCAATGCCTGATTAGCCTTTTTGCTACCGATAAACAATTGCTAATAACAATTACATATTATTTAAATTATTTTGTTAACAATTTGTATTTGGTATTTGTATTTGCATTTGCTGTGCACAGTAGTTCAAGTGCAAATTTGTCAATTATGTTCTTAAGAATGTTCAAGTCAAGTGGTTCTGCTTATCAGAGAGAGTGAGAGAAAGAGAGACAGCTAGAGAGAGAGAGAGAGAGAGAGAAACAAGTAAACAACAAACAATTAGTGCAATGGCAAAATGTTGTTGAGCCCAAAAAGAAACAGCACTACTTGTTTTTCTTCTGTTTGCTTTTGTTGTTGTTGTTGTTTTTATAGCATAATTATTGGCACAACAATAGACGTGTGTGTGCGTCTGTATGTGTGTGTGTGTGTAGTAGTAGAACGAACTCTGACAAGACAAAATCAGATATCATATATAATGTATAAATAAAACCAGGTACTCATCACAATTATCGTCAACAACAGGCAGAGAAAGGCAAAAGGCAAAAAGGCACACAGACAGTCAGTCAGCCAGACACATAAAGATATAACGTAAGCGCAACAAAATTGTCTTTTGATTATAATATGAGCATTTAAATGAACATCACTTGGTATACCCTGTAATAGAATCTAACACGAGTTTGTACACTTTGCACATTCTATAAGTGCTGCAAACTGAATTGCATTTCTTTTATGATGTTATTTATATGCACTAAAATCGGTTCATGTTTCTAGTTCTTAAAAATATGCAGAATTTCGACAAGCGTAATCGGTAAAGTTGCGTTTAGGGTTGCCAGCCATTTATAAACAGCAGTTGAAAGCAGAGGTGGATCAATGTTCGCTTTATTAATGATATATATCAGAGTAAAAAGTATTTTGTATTTATAAAATAGTTTTAATATTACGAAAATCTAGGTTTTCATTGAGTTTAACTTTCCAAAATGTCGCCAAAGCAGTTTGCAGTAGTTTGTATGTATTTAATACAGGGTGCTTTCTAGTCAAGCCACCGCATTTGTGGCAAGTAGCACGTGTTGGCTGTGTGATAGCAACTATGCTAAATTTGACACTTAGTTTAAGCACAATACTCTCCCGTATATATATATATATATATATATATATATATGCATAAGCCGACAAATAAACTAACTGAGCAACCCTAGCACAGTCCAGGCCGGTAACTGAGCGAATTTAAATTGAATTAAGGTATGAAATGCAAACGTCAACACAAATCAAATAACAATGTTTCTCCTCTGTCTGGCATTTTTTTATATTATATATATATATATATATATATTTACATATATATGTGTGGTCAGCAATTTTTCTAATCTGCGGCAGGAGGGGGCTGACACTAGTTTGATGCATGTGGGATATGCTACAAAAACAAGACAAACATCATCAACAACATCATCAGTTGGAACTAAATGCATAAATTAAACAACATGTCACAAATTGCATTTGTTTTGTGTTTGACCATTTAATTTTTGATATATACGCATATATATAGTATCTATATATAGAATAGTAGAGTGATTCGTATTGTTCGAGTGTTATCTAAGCGCTAGCTGAGCTCTTCCGCATTTTGCAAATGCAGTTGAACCCAGAAAATGGGGTTCAAAATGTTCTTTGTCGCTTAACAAATTATTTGTGTGTGCTGACAAATTAAGCTGATACTGATTTAGATCAGACTTTGATAAGATAATACTTTTAATGCAAGGCTTTTAGTATGGTTTCCTTATGCAACTGATAGCACCAATTAACTGTCATCATATTTGTATGTTTCATTTATATTCAATGTTCCCAGTTCATCAACCTATTGATGGGTTATAAAAAATTGATTTATGTATGAATTTTACCAGTAGCATTAGAATATTAGATCCCTCATAGTTTCATATAGCTAATTAACTAACTTTTACTATTAAGAATTAAGAAAAATGCTCGAATTAATTTAGACCAGACATCAGTTCAATTAAGCTGCTGATTCAGTTTGATAAATATCTCTTAATTAAATCAATGTGTTCAGTAAGTTTTCTTGTTTGTCTTTGACAGACTTAATGAACTACCGGCAATTTTAGCAGTTATAATTTTATCACACTTTTAATAGTTGACATCTTTTAACTATTTTTAACCAACTACCAAGAACTTTAGCTGAAAAGCATTTGTTAAATGGCATTTTAAAAGTGTTCGACCAACATTAGAATAACAAACCACGGAAAATTCTCGCATAACTTTAGCGAGCCCACATGCATAAATTAGACATTTTATATTTTTGTCCTTGCCACCAACAAGTGTGACCATGCACCCAACCTGCTCCTGCTCCCCCTCACCCTCTGGGTACAGTGGGTACACCATAAAGCGGCTGGCTGCTGCTGCTGCTTGGTTATTAAATGTTGTCGCACAGCACACATAAAAAGTGTTTTGCATGTAAATTGTTGCTTTAAACGACTTGTTTACTCTTCTCTCTGTCAGTGTGCAGTGCTGTTCTGTTCTGTGCTGTTCTGTGTGGTGTAATAATATCTAATCAGTCGAGACTCTTATTATATTTATGTACTTTAGTTTTGTTTTTGTTGTACAAACAGCAAACAACAAGCAAATGCATTCATTAATGTCAAGAGTTTTTAGTGGGCCTTACGAATATATTTGTCTGGTTTTTGTTGTCGTCGTGTCTTAAAACGCATTCAAATATGAGTGCATAATATATATATATATATATATACATATTGACCATGTTATTTTTGCACGCTTCTTCTGCTGCTTTTTCATGGCTTAATCAGTTGTTGTTATTTGCAAGTGCAGTTGTCACTTTGTGGTCGATTTGTCTGTTTGCTTGCGTTATTTAAACTGGCTTTTTTATGACCATATTTTTGTACGCGTGTTATTCCTTTTTGGATACGCTGATTGCATCGAGAATGATGTCGTCGAGTTTATATTGCCCTGCTATGGCTTGGTATCATTAAATACATGAAATTAGCATAAAGTTAATGTTTTCAATTGAAATGTTGTATTATTTTTGAGTTAAACCATGATCAATGAGCCGCTATCTATGGAAATCGAATGGAAAACCGAAGGGTATTGGGAGTCGGTAAAATCGATAAGTGCAAGTCGATAAACCATTTAACTCTCTCAAGTTTAAAGCCACCAAGGAATATATGGTTGCTATGAATTTAAATCCACAATCAATTTTTTAACTTTAAATGCAGTATTATGCTACAAGCCAAACCAAGATCGGTTAAGTTTCTACAGATATATAAAGCTTTAACTACAGAGTATGGTATAGTCTGTTACTTGATTTCTTGTCCCCTTTTATTATCACACTTTTCCTAAAGTTGACAACAACTATATGCACCGCTCTCTCTCTCTCTGTCTCTCTCGCACTATCCTTCGCCATCTGTCTCCCACTGTTTACACAAATTGTGAGGTTTACTTGCAGTTTGTAAAAAGCGCATCTTTTTGTTGTATTTTTTTTATTTTTTTTTTTAGCTGCAATGTGCAAAATGTCAATGACTTCGACAGCAATAACAATTGAAACCCAGCAGCAGCAGCAGTCAAACAGTTATTGTTGTCGCTTAATTAACACAAACGTTGTCATCATCATCGTCGTCGTCGGCGGCTGCGCCAATAATAACAATTGTTGACTTTTTGTTAATTGAAACTAAGTGTTTCTCGCTGTTGCTAATTACGGATGGTTGCGGTTGTGGTGGCGCCATCTAGCGTGCGCTGTCCGCTTCACATCTGTCTAATTAAATGGCGATTTGTATTTTTATTTATGGCTCTCATTTGATTAATCGCATTTGCTCGTTTGGCAGAAATAAAACACGTTAATGCTAATCGACCCATCGAAAATAATAATAAATAAAACATCGCATGTTTCTTCTTGCTTTTTTTTTGTTTGTTTTTTCTTTGGAAATGGAGGAAACGTGCTGACGCGCACGTAATTCAAAACACCAGCAATAACAACAAACGACGGGGAGCAGTTATATCGAAAATCAATAAGCGAAAAAACACAATAAGAACAGCAAACGTTTAAAATATGTTTGGCATGCGAAGAGCATACATATTATCGATAAGTGCACTTGGCACTTGATCGATAACTGCACAAACGAGGCTTAAGCCTCGTTTAACACTTGCAGCAATGACTCTGAAACTATACTAACAGTGCTAAAGAGTCAATCTCTTAACAGCAGCCTTAAGCACTGTTAAGCCAGTCCTTT